AGGAATGAAGTGTATCCAATGTATTCATTAATTAATTTTCCTTTGAACTTGAACCTGTTCTGCATCAGTCTCCCCTTCTTTGAAAGAACTCGTCCCCGAGTTAACTAGAGGAATTGGGATATCTGGAGTCGTATGATACGCAAATAAGTCTTGGACATTGAAAGTTTTGGAGATGGCTAAATCTTCTGAAAGATCCACCACATAAGCATTATCATTGATCTTCTTCAAAATGCGAACAGGACCAATCTTCTTCTGTTTAAGCTTACCGTATGTGCCCACTGGAAACCTTTCTTTGTGCAAGTGAACCATTACCATATCACCAACTTCAAAAGTCTTCACTCGTCGATGTACATCTGCGACGGCTTTATACTTCGCAGCTGATTTTTTCAATTTCTTTTGAACGTCTGCATGAATGTTGGCCACATTTTCCACCATATGATCAGCAATGACACTCATTCATGGAAGCTTGGGAAGAGGAACCAAATCTAAGGTATTAGCGGGAATCGAACATAAACAATCTCGAACGGAGACTTTCCAGTCGAACGGTTTGGCACATTGTTATAAGCAAACTCCGCTTGAGAAATAACAAAATCTCACTGCCTTGGACTTTCTTGACACAAACTCCGCAAAATATTTCCCAATGTACGATTCACTACCTCTGTTTGACCATCGGTTTGGGGATGACAAGTAGTACTATACTACAAAGTTGTATCCAGCCGCTTCCAAAGAGACTTCCAAAAATAACTCAGAAACTTGCTATCGCGATCGAAAACTATAGACTTTGGCACACCATGGAGACGAACTACCTCGCGAAAGAATAGTTGAGCAATATTGTTGGCATCATGTGTTTTCCTGCAAGGAATAAAATGCGCCATCTTCGAAAACCTATCAACAACAACAAAAATAGAATCCGCACCACGCTGTTTTCGCGGAAGACCGAGAACAAAATCCATGGACAGATCCTCCCAAGGAAATTCTGGAATAGGAAGAAGCGTATATAATCCAGTATTTTGTGCTTGACCCTTCGCAGTCTGACATGTGTAACAACGCTTCACATACCTCTCCACATCTCTTTTCAACTGAGGCCAATAATATCGAGATTCGACCATAGCGATGTTCTTGTCTCGTCCCAAGTGCCCTCCCAAACCTCCACCATGAGTTTCTCGAATAATGTGCTCTCGCAAAAACCCACGAGGAATACAAAGACGATCATCGAAGAATAAAAATCCCTCAAGTAGCAGGTATTTGCTAGATTCTTGAAAACCTGAATTGCACTGAGCCCATGCATCTTTAAAATCCTCATCATCAGCATAAAGCTCTTTCAAATATTCAAAATCAGAAATCTCATTTTTCGCAATGATAAGTAAAGAAGCTCGTCGACTCAACGCATCAGCTACTTTATTTAATTGACCAGATTTGTGCTTAAGAGAAAAGGTAAACTTTTGTATATAAGCAATCCACCTGGCATGCATTCGGTTTGGCTTGGTAGCATTCTGAAGATACTTGAGAGCTTGGTGATCACTGTTTAACACAAATTCCCGTTGAATCAGATATGGCTCCCAATGGTACAAACTTCGTACTACTGCATACAGCTCTTGCTCATACGTCGTCCACTTCTGTCGAGCATCATTAAGTTTCTCGCTGAAGAAGGCTATGGGTCAGCCTTCTTGAGAAAGAACAGCTCCAATGCCAATACCGGAAGCATCACAATCAACCTCAAACAACTTATCAAAGTCCGGCATGGCTAAAACCGGTGTTGTGGTCAACCTCTCTTTCAAAACCGCAAAGCTCTGTTCTGCAGCATCAGTCCACACAAATTGCTTATGCTTCATGCAATCTGTGAATGGGGCAGCAATGGTACTGAAATTCCGCACAAAACGTCTATAAAAAGTTGCCAAACCATGAAACCTTAGCCTCATCAACCTTGATCCCTTCAGCACTCACAACATAGCCCAGGAAGATCAACCTGTCTGTCAAAAAACTGCACTTCTTCAAATTCACATATAAATTGTTCTCATGCAAAACATTGAAAACTTTCCTCAAGTGTTGCATATGCTCTTCTTCATCATGACTATACACAAGGCTATCATCGAAATAGACATCTACGAACTTTCCAAGAGGCTGGAATACTTGATTCATTAATCGCATGAATGTACTTGGCGTGTTAGACAATCCAAATGGCATAACAAGCCACTCATACAACCCTTCTCTTGTCTTGAATGCTGTTTTCCACTCATCACCGAGGCGGATACGAATCTGATGGTAACCACTTTTCAAAACGATCTTTGAAAACACTTTTGAACCATTCAATTTATCCAGCATATCATCTAACCTTGGTATAGGAAATCTGTACTTTACCGTGATCTTGTTGATGGTTGTACTGTCAATGCACATCCTCTAACTTCCATCTTTCTTCAGAGTTAGCAAGGCTGGCACTGCACACGGACTCATACTCTCTCTGATTAGACCTTTCTGTAGCAAATCATTAACCTGGTCCTGCAAAATCTGAAACTCTTTCGAACTCATTCTGTAATGTGGCAAGTTCGGAAAACTTGCTCCGGGAACAAAATCAATCTCATGCTGGATGTTCCACATAGGAGGTAACTCGCTGGCAGCTCGTCTAGCGCAAGTCCCTGAAACTCGGTAATTAATGGCTTAACTCGCTCTGGTATCGCAATGACAACTTTTTCTTGTTCTTCACTCTTGACTACTAAAGCATAAACCAACTGCGTTTCCTTGACTTCTTTTATAAAATCTGGTATTATAAGGAAAGATTCTGCATTGGTTGGGGAGGCTGTTACTCGAATTTCACGCCTCTTAGGAGCCAAGACAACTTTTACTTTATCCTTGTAAAAGGTGTAAGTAGTCTCCTTTCCCCTTTGCACAGTGTTCAAATCAAACTGCCACGACCTACTCAACAGCATATGACAAGCATTCATGTCGACCACATCGCACAAAACCTCATCTCTATAATTTGGCCCAATAGAGAAAGGAATAACACATTGTTCTGTTACTTTTGTTTCATCGACATCTGTGATCCAGCCAATACTATAAGGAGACGGATGTTTCTTTGTTGGAAGATTCAACTTATCAACCATAGTCCTTGACACGATATTTTCACTGCTACCTCCATCAATAATCAAATCACAGACTCGCTGGTTGACGGTACAACGAGTTTTAAAGATATTGTGCCTCTGAACATCCTCTTTCCATGGTGTGTACATCAAATGCTGTAAAACAAGCGATACACCCTCATCTTCATGGGTCCATTCTGCTGGATCTTCTTCTTCGAAATTCTCCTCCTCTTGTCTGCCTTCTTCTTTCTCATGCTCAACTACATTGGCAGTACGTCACTGGGGACAACGATTAGAATAGTGTCCAACTTCTCCGCAACGGTAACACTTATCACTTCCTGATGGAGCGTAAGGGTCACTTTGTGTTCTTGAACTACTTGTACTCGTCTTTGTATGAGTCTGACCTTTCCATGGGGCCTTGTTCTGATTCTGAGAAGCTTGACTCTGACCTGCTTCAGTGACTGTTTTTCCTTTACCCAGCTCGGACTGATTTTGTACTGGTGAAGGCATGACTGTCTTGGTAGAGGGCTAATTTCGAAAACCCATTCTTCTGGCTAATTGCAATTCGACCCTTGTTGCCAATTGAATGGCATCCAGCAACGTATGAACCGGTTGCATGTTAACCACATATTGTAGATTTGTACGCAATCCATCCACAAATCGCGCCACCAATTGTCCTTCTGTTTCTGGTAAGTCGTTACGGGAGGAAAGTCGCTGGAACTCAGCAGAATACTCATGGACTGATATAGCACCTTGTTGACATCGTTGGTACTGATGGAACAGAACCTGATCATAATCTGGAGGAAGAAAACGTGCTCTCATCAATTGCTTCATTCGATTCCAAGCCCAAATCTTACTCTTGCCTTGTCGCATCCTAGACAATTGCAATTGCTCCCACCATGCAGAAGCACCGCTTTTCAATTTGTACGCAACAAGTTTCACCTTCTTCTCTTCTTCGATATCCATGTAATCGAAAAACCATTCTACTTCATTCAACCAATTCAGAAAATCTTCAATGTTTAACTGCCCATTGAAGGAAGGGAGGCCCATCCTCATACGGTAGTTATTGTTGTTATACCGAACACCTTCTCTGGGCTCCTCGTGCATTGCGATCTGCTCAAGATCACCATCTGTTGAATCACCATCATAAACTGGGTTGTTTACAACACGCCTAGAAGGAACCCCTAAGCGTCTAGGATTGTTGCCTACCCTTGGTTCACGAACATGCTGGCCGCGAGGCGCAATAGGATCCTCTGTTGTTGCTCTCTTGGCGTTGAGATTCAATCTATTGAGAAGACCAAGAATCTGGTCCAACTATTGTTGTTGCCTCTCATTTGCACCCCACACAGCATCACTGTTAGATTTTGGTGAAGTCTCACCGTCATTGGCCATTAAGACAAGGGAGGACATCGCTCTGATACCACTTGACGCAACGTTGTAATGGAATGAATGACTAGATATCGTTCTAGTAGACGAAGGGGAAGATATCGTTCTTTGGATGGTAACAACTCGAATTCACAAGCAAAGATAAACAACCTTGCGCACAAGGCAAATGGCGAAAACTCTGATTATATTCTTAAAAAAACTCTTTTCTTTCTTTCTATGTCTTTGCCACAAGGCTTACAAACATATTTATACTAACTACTAGATACTCAAACTGTGAATTTCCTAATACATAAATAAATACTAAAACACTCCCTTAAACTCTTGTACCAAATACAATGTATCAAATACAAAGAACCTAACCTTTAGACCTTGAAGAGTTTGAAAGACATGAATATAATCCAATGTATCCATGAATACAAGGAATGAAATGTATCCAATGTATCCATTAATACAAGGAATGAAGTGTATCTAATGTATCCATTAATTAATTTTCCTTTGAACTTGAACCTGTTCTGCATCAGAGATCCTCTCCCTACAAAGTTTCATCAGACAAGTTGATTTCTAGCTCATAAAATGCCCCTTTACACATTAAATTGTACACAACTAGTTCAGTCAAGAACACCATACAGCATTGATATCATACCTAATCAACTAGAATTAGAAAGAAAAAAAAAAAAAAAAACAGAAAAAAAAAACCCAAGTCCACTGTTACAAACACCAGATTAACAATGGAAATATGTATATATATTCATATATTGAAGCAAGAAGGTAGGTGCAATCCCTCCAAAGGCAGAAGCATGGCAACTTCTAACTGCATAAACTGAGCAAACCAGGTAGAGTTTCCCTCCAAAACCAGTGATTTGGAAACTAGTTTTAAAACCCAATTGGTTTTAAACTTATTTACTAAACCCAAATACTACAGTGAAATCGAGTTTTGAAAACACTACTCGTTGAATTTAGTCTTCTTGTGTTTTAAACCCAAAGTAGTGTTTCCAATACATCCTTTCACTGAAGTACCTGAGTTTGGTAAATAAGTTGAAAACTACTTGGGTTTGGGAAATTAGATTCCACACCACTACGGTTTGGTAAAAATACTCATACCAGGTATATACAGATCCGATCTCTCATGCATCTTGTACTCCACAAACCCTACTGAAAATCCCACTGGTTCTCATAGTAGTCACGATTGATGTGCTTTTAGCAATGCTTGGTAGATCATGTCGATGAATTGATTGTCCTGGCACAATTCCAAAGGTAAATAAATTAGCGGCTCCAACTACGTATATTTGAAATTAATATAAGCTAAACAATAGAATTAAGAGTATTCACAATAAAGCAGATCTTAACTACCTATCACCGCCACTACTAATACTGCTATTGCATTAGTTTCAACATTAGGCGTTCAGTCCTATTAAAGACTCAGTGTGTTCAAAGTCAATACTCCAGCAGTTAGACATGCTTAGAAGCTCTCTCTTCTTGCCTCTTTGCTATTCCGACTCAAAAGGATATGACAATTATATCACAGAGATAATGCCACAACTACTTTCTTCTCCTTCTCGTAAGACAATCATTATTGTTGTTTATCCATTATTATAGATCAACAGAGATTAAAACAAGAACAAGCAGAACAAGAAAATGGTATAAGAATGATATTTAAAATAAAATAAAACTAGAACTTTTTTAAAACCTAAAATTATTTGCAAGTTAAGCAGCATCCTCAGGCACAACACTGTGAAGTCTGAAGTCCCTGCATGAGAGGTCAATCTTCAATAATGATTTACTATCCTATAGCCCGGCTCCTGGATTGCAAATCCATTATTTTTCATATTTATTATCCACAACTATTATCATGTTACAAAAAGATGCCCTAATTATGCATGACCATAACTTTTTGCTCAACACATTACCAATCAGCTATTCAACACCCTGAGCCAGATGCCAAATATATACGTGCTCTATGATGCTTATTGACAACTAAAGTGCCATATTTGTAACCAACATATAAACCTTTCCAACAAGTAATGCTAGTTTCAACAGAAAATGCATTCCAACCTTTACAGTGGTTTATGGGTCTCAGTTATAAATTTACAGTACCCACCCGCATAATCATGCACAAGAACATATGAGGGCTCCGGATTATGCACCCACTACCAAAAAATATATAAATAGCATGAAATAAAATAAAAATATTTAAATGGGAAAATTGCAGTTTACAACTTCCTTCAATTGAGCAATTATTATCCCCTCAATGCTATTCATACAAAAACAGCTATCAGATAATCAGAATTTTTAGAAGAATGCAGCTAGTGTGTATAACTTGACTTCTTCTTCTTTTCTTTTTTTTTTAAAAAAACAAACGTATTGAACCTAATCTACAGCAGGGAAGTTAGTTAAAGCCAGTGCAACTTGCATGCAATGTCTAGTTTTAATTAAAAAAAATTGGTTTTACAACCTGGACATGTGAAGGCTGCTCAGCACACCAGGAAATAAAGAACAAGGGGAGAAAATGAGAGGGTATAAACAACTAGAAATACCTGAGCAAGCATTAGAAGTGCATCACGAACTTTTTCTCTGTTAACTGGTTCATAATTTGGAGTGGAAGTAGGAGTAAGTGACAGTGGAGGTGTGGGTGGTGGAAAGGGTTGAAGCATTGGTGTACCATGGGGGCGTTGTAGATTCGAGGGAGGATGAAAAGCAGACGTTGGCAAAGATGAAGAGACAGGTGGAGTCATCAATGCAGATGAAGAAGTAGGGGGAGTAAAGAAGGAAGAGGGCTTGACAAGATTGGTGACCCGATTGTTGCTGTTAATTGGGTCGGTAGTGTCATGGAGGGGCACTGGAGTAGATGAAGACAACAGATGAACATTTGGCACTTGAAGGGCAGGAGGAGCAGGGGAGGGAGCAACACTAGGACCACGAGAAGATAAAGGAATGGTAGAAGAAGTAAGGTAGGGTTGTCCAGCGTTTACTGCAACTGGAGCATTATGTCCGATATTCATAGCTGTCTGCAACAAGAAAATTGGAAGAAATCAGTAACCCTAATATTTTTTGATAAGCCAAAATGTCAGGAGATACAAGAAAGAATCACATACACGAAATATGCATGCATAATATTCAGTAAAAAAGTATGAAACACAATTATACAGCAATGGAAAATTGAGCACACAAGTCGTAGGTATTTACCAACGACACACCTTTTCATATCTTACCACTGCCCTCTCACTCTTTTAAAAACTGCACCACTTTTTTCTCTCAAGCATTTTCATTCTATTTCTAACTTAACTCCTCTTGAATATCTTCAAAACACTTTTTTAACCAGCAGTTTAATCTCTCTCTTTCTTTTCCTCCTAATTCATATGTTTGTTAATCAGGCATAAAAACTTCAAAATTCATGTCATCATACATTTTCTTTCTTTTCTAATCTAATCAGCAACAAGCAATCAACTTTCCACTAACAGTAGCACTTCACCTCCATCTGCGTTCATCACTTTATCTCATGTTTTATACTAAATATTCTGCACCACATGCTGGTTACACAAGCAGCCACGATGGATGATGCAGTTTAACATTAATGGCCTTTGACATAGAAAATTTTCTAAAATCAGCAAAAGTTCTAACGTTCATCTGAGGAAAGGGAGAGTTTCTTTTAAAATTATTAGTAATAGTGGCAATAACCATGATACTAGTAATAGCTCATTGTTATGCCATTTTTGAAAATAAGTGAACATGAAATTCATGGGAATTTGCAAAGCCAGCAACAATAGGATAAGTCGTAAGTATCCAACAATGTCAGTGTACAACATGGACAGGACACTTGCTTAGCATGTGTTAATAAATAAACCTCTTTAGTTTGGCCACACAATGCAAATTTTCCTAGAAAAACATTAAATGAACATTGAACAAATAGGAGAATAGTATCACAGTTTTTGGTGTTTGTGTGAGATGCAATACACCTCATACAGTGAGTTTTCCCAAGACTCTAGACCAACAACGTTCCATAATCTTTTTCTTTATTCTGTTCATTTGGTTATCTCAGCCCATCCAAACATAATTCTCTACACCTCTTTTGATCCAATCTTGTTAGGGAAAAAGGCTCATTCCATCATGAAATCAAGTGTTTACACACTTACTCTGACAGAGAGAGAGTTCGCACGTCATGAAGATTTCAAGATTTAGTAGTGGACCATAATGAAGAAATTTTTCAATTAAGAATGGTTGAAATGCTGCATATTGACATCATTGATAGTCATTCGCTCTATCATAAATCTTGTAGAGAGTGAATTAAAAATAAAATGATGGTTGAAGTAGAATACATACACTGAAGAAGTTTACAAAGGAGGATTCCTCGGGTACACCAGTAGAAGTGGGGGCAGCAAATGATGGTTCCAGTGGCCCTTCAATCACTGCAGAGGTTGGGACTGCTTCAAGTTCCTCAAACTCGCTATAGATAAAGATGGTGATTGAAAAAAAAAAACGGAAAATTAGAAACCAGAACTGAAACACAATATACTCATTCAACATGTTCAAATAACAGAACCACCACTAAAAACTTGAATATGGCTCAACAAAGTTCATTGCTAAAGCATTCAGTTTTGGATTGGGAAGTTATTTTTCTTGGACAGTTGGACCACAGAGAAATGTTTGATGCACGTCAGTCAGCACAGAGGGCCTTCAATAAAAGCCAAATCTATCTTAACAATTCTAGTCTTTTGCATGTGTGAGTGGGAAGGCAGGGACAAAAACCGACAAAATTCTGTTTTATGTTTCACTCTATGATTCCATCACATAAAACCATGCCTTTCTGAATACAAAGATCAAACAACATTATCTCAAATATGCATCCATATTCAATTCAACAGTTTACCAGAGCTATCAACACACTAGTCCTCTCACCTCTGCCTCATGAGCATGTCCTGTATAATGTTGAGGAATGTTCTGGGGTTTATATTCAGATTTCCCTTAATTATATTAACTCTATTCCTCCTCTACTCTTGCAAAAAACTTATTACTAATATTACTACTAAAGTTATCAAGTTCTCATCAACTCAAGCTTCCAAAGTGGATTTCCTGTTAAATTCAATGTATAAAGAGAGAAATACAGAGAGAATAAATTGTATGTATTCAATTGATTGATTTCAATGATTTACAACACTCTCATTTATAGAGAGAGGAAATGTAGTACACATAGGATACTAACTAACTAACACCGAAAGCAGAAACATTATCATTTGTGGGACAGCTGGACAGCTAGATATTGCACACTAATATTACACTATTGCTATATTATACTAATAACACTAACAGCCCCCCTCAAACTCAACCAACTTGAGTTTGGCGAGAGTAACAAAACAAGAAAATAAACTGACAAATAAAAGTGGATAGGAGACACTGTATGGTCGTGTCAGACCGTTGGTGAAGACACTGTATGGTCGTGTCGAACCGTTGTAGAAGCTAACCGGAATCAATGTTGGGATAGTTTACGGGGTCATGCCGGACCGTTGTAGAAGCTAACTGGAATCAATGTCGGGACAGTTTACGAGGTCATGCCGAACCGATGTAGAAGCCAACCAGAATCAATATCGGGACAGTTTACGAGGTCATGCTAGACCGATGTAGAATACACTGTATGATTGTGCATATAGGCTGCCCAAATATATATATATATATCGAGCTCTCAAAAGTCGCGCCCTCAAAAGGCGCGCCCAATTCATCAAAAGTCGTGCCTGACAGAAATCGTCGAGCTGCGAACCATCAAAAGTCGCGTCGGACACGCGGCGATGCACGTGATCGACACAGCGTCATGTCATCCTCTTCGTCATTGTCTATATAAACCGATGCGGAGGCTGTGCAAACCAAACTAGTCTGAAACCTCTGAACATTTTCATTCTGAAACACTCTGCAACCAACCCTTTCTGACATTACCAGTCTGAAATCGCTACTTCTCTGAAACACTCAGCAACCCAGAACATGGCCTCTTCTTCTCGTGGTCTGCTCACTCTCTTTCCAGACCTCAACGAGTCCACAAGAGAGATAACCGATGCGGTTGCCCTTGAACCTCAACCAAGCGCCCCTGGTTTTGCTCCGTTAAACTTTCCTATGCTGTTTGTGGAGCAAATAATGGCTGCTCAATCTGATATTGAGGTCAACCATTATACGTTGAAGTCATGTGTGGAGACCATGACGACGGTCACGAACTTGTCTCACCGGCTTCAGAATAGGACCAATGAGGTACAGCAGGTAAATGCCCAATTGGCTTTGCTCCAGCGCATGTATAAGGATACGCGAGCAGAGATATGTGTGCTGAAGGCGGAAAACAAGGAGCTGAAACGGAAGACCACCGTTATGTTCCGATTTGGAGGGCCGCCATATGTGGCGTTTAAGGAGCAGCGGGGAGGCAACGTGCTAGCGGTGTGGGAAACACGGAGGCAGCACTGTCAAGGGCCGCCCAGGATGGAGGCAAGAAGAAGAGACCGGTGACAGAGTAGAGAAAGGAAAAGAAAAATCCCTCCTGTGTGAGGGAGGTCAGTTGTTTGAGTTGGTTTTGTTGTGTTTTGTTTTTGTAAATTTTTTTTTTTTTTTTTTTGGGGTAAAATTGTGATCGGGGTTGATTCCCGGCATAAAGAAATGACAAGGTTGGGGAAGGAAACCACGTTGGTTGTGAATGAATTGGTTTTTTTTTTTTTTTTTTAATGAAAAAAAGGAAGAGAAAATAAAATAAATAAAGTGGCAATTGGACCCGCATTTTTGTTCAAACCAACACATGATGGTGCCAGCCATTATAGCTAAAGTGGGTAATGACAGATTAAACAAATATATTTTAAACAAAAATAAATTGTAGGTGGGTGGATGTTGATAGATTAAACAAATATGAAGATATGACACGGGGTGATTTGAATACGTGGGCTGGTATATTGATATAATATATGATAATAAAAAAAAATATATGTATATATATAGAAAAGAAAATAAAGTTGAAAAGAGTGGGACCACGCTGATGATGTAAAGTAAAAAACATAAAAGAAACTAAAAATGAAAGTGGGGTAGAGGGAAAAGTGAAGAGCAGAGTGGTGTTTGGTCAGAGTGGTGTTTGGCATTTTTTTTTTTTTTGGATTTTGCACAGAGCACATCAATGGCACAACGATCACAAGTACCAGAGTTTGGCAACTGGGAAAGTGAAGAAAATGTTCCTTATACGGAATATTTTGATAAAGCAAGAAAAGGTAAAGGTGGCATGAGGATGAATCCAAATGATTCTCAGGACAATACCCCTCTTGTTCGAGCACCTCCTTTTCAACAAGAGGCTGAAGTGAAGGGCGAAATGGGAACATCAGATGTAAAGTCAAAGCTTGAGACTGAGCGCCGGACGAGCCGGAAAGACGGTGAGCTTCAAAATTATGGTGGCGTAGGATCTGGAAGCAGTAAGGTAGAATCAGACGCACAAAAGGGCTTAGATGCATTGAGACCAACAAATGAATGCCGGGAAGAGGGTGACCTCAATAGAGCAGCAAATTCTTCATTGCGGCATGAAACTGGTGAAATGCTGTTAATGGTGGTTGTTGTAGCCATAGCCATGATCGTTATGATGAGCGGAGTTTTGCCATGGAATTTGTTAGAAACTACTGCAGCTGCAGCAGCAACAGCAACAAGATCAAGATCAAGATCAAGATCAAGATCAAGATCAAGATCAAGATCAAGAAGAATAATTTGCTGCAGTGGAGTGAAGGTATGTGTAGAGGTCCGGCGGGCGGCCAAGACGAGGCTTCCGCCCGCCGGTGAAGCAAAATTATTAGATTCTTAACCCCGCTCTGATACCATGTTAAATTCAATGTATAAAGAGAGAAATACAGAGAGAATAAATTGTATGTATTCAATTGATTGATTTCAGTGATTTACAACTCTCTCATTTATAGAGAGAGGAAAGGTGGTACACATAGGATACTAACTAACTAACATCGAAAGCAGAAACATTATCATTAGTGAGACAGCTGGACAGCTAGATATTGCACACTAATATTACATTATTGCTATATTATACTAATAACACTAACATTTCCTTGAGTAACTTTTCAAAATAACTCCTCCACTCAAGGTTCTGAAAAGCGGTTGCGGTTGCCGTAACGGTGGCGGTAGCACGGTTGCGGGGTGTAAAGGCCGTAGCATAACGGTTGCGGTAACCGGAACCGTGAATTTTTTTATTTTTCGCACAATTTGAAAAAAACTTGCCGATACACATTTTTTTTCCATGATCATATTTATTGGGTTTAAAATAAATATTGATCAATTTTTATAAATTTTTAAGTATGATCTGATATATTTCATATTTTTAAATCACTATAAACTGAGTTTTTTACATTTTATTTTAATAATTAATGACTTTATATTATACAAAAAATCAATCACTAACTATTATATATAAGATAAACAATGACAAAAATAAGAGAATAAATAAGAGCCTAAATATATATATATATATATATATTTTAACCAAGCTAAATAGATAATGACCACACTTATTATTATTATTATCATTATTATCATTATTTTCAAACAATGTATACATAGACACACAAACAAAATGGTTGAGTAATAGCAGCTGAATAAAATAGCATAGGTCTTACAGTTATAACAAATCAATAACATGTTCTTCATCTTCCCTCTTCTCTTTCTCTATATCTTGCTCCTCCATTTTCTCTCTTTATCTTTCCTTTTCTCTCTATCCCTCTTTCCCCATTTTTAGCTTTTCTTTGTGTGTTTTTTCAAAAAAATAGTTCGAAACCGTTACGTAACGGTGCGTAACAGGCCGTTACGGCTATTACAGCACCGTTACGACCGCTACGGTAGCCGCTACGGCCGACACACTTGTAAATCTCAATCACACTGTAAAAGCGGCCGTAACAGGTGGCGGTAACCACCAAAACCGTTACGTAACGGTGTTACGTAACGGTTGCGGCCGCTTTTTAAAACCTTGCCTCCACTATTACTTAAATCTCATTTTCCTTACCTAGAACTCTTTCATCTTCCTCTTAACCTAGTTTAGACCTCTACCTTTTCTTTCTCTTATCTTGGCAAGTTTATATATCGTTTCCTCCAACCTCATAATTTAACTTAAGATAAAGACCATTATAAGCCTTCAACTTAGTCTCCCAACTCCTTCATAGCTTTAGTTTTGGCTACCTCATATCTTTCAAATTTTTCATTATTCCCACATGTATAGAAAGCTTCTTGACAATCCCTTTTTATTTTGTTCATTCTCTTTTTTGGGGGATAGAGGATACATAACAGTAGATAGGGAAAAAGTTTCAAATTGATATAAATATGTTACCTAAAATAGTATTTATAAAACATATGTAGGAGTTCCAATTTTTTTTTTTTTTTTTGAAAAAAAAGGAGAGATCTTATTAATAAAATGAGTAGAGTATAAATATAGTAAAGAAGATATCAGAGTTTAAGGAAAATTAAGCAACCCCTGAAGAGGGCCCAATCTATGAAAACAAAATAAAATAAAATGAAGAAAAGGAAGATTATTATCCTTGCATAACAAAACAATACCAATACAGTAAAGGAGTAAAAATAGGAAACTGATATGCTCTCCAACATATAAACCAAACACAACTCATGTGTTCAGCAACTACTGAGTTGCGTGTTGTGGGATTACAATTTTTACCATGAACTATTAAACATTTAAGTCACTTTTGGCTTGTGTTTCGTACTTTAAAGCAGTGTTCAACAAAATAATCCTTAATTTTTATGGAGCTTTAAAAAATACCTAGATATAAGAGAGTTTAATTATGCAAATTAATTAAGCCATCATAACTTTAAAAAATCATTCACTACCTTGTGCTCGGAGATTTTGGCTTTGGAGGCACCTTTGAGTATGCACTAAGTATCCTGAAAGTGAAAAGGAACAAGCAACAAAACAAGAGTCACTATGTAGTTATATATCTCAATGTAATGTAGAGACAACATGCAAATCCTACCAAATACAAACAATAAACATAGTATTGAATTCAAAACCCTTTCAACCCTAGTATTTCCTTCTTTGCTTTAGCAGACCAACATGAAACTTATCATAGTTAACAAACACCAATTGAATTTGTTGAACAATTTTAATAAATTGATATAAAAACCTAAGAACAATTAGCTTTACATTTGACCTAACAACCACAACATAAATGCTCCTATATATGAACTCAATAGGCATCAATGATAAAACTCCATCGACCTTAGTAAGCTAATCCATGTGGACTAGTGCATACTCATTTCAATCCTCCAATTGCATGTGTCAAGCGTAAACTAGGCCCAGTCCACTAAGACTTGGATATATGGGAATCCAGGTAGATAACCCATACTCTAGACTCTTACAGTAAATGACACATCATAACATTCTGAAAGTGGGCAACATTATCTACCTGCCAGGCTGCCACATTAGATTAAAACCTTGATTTATGGCTTTAAAAATTTGGCATGTGCAACTATTGAAACATCTAGATGGAGAGTAGATGGCTCACAAGTTTCTATCAATTAACTGAGAGAGAGAGAGAGAGAGAGAGAGAGAAGATTGAAAGCAATGGCCTGATGGGAGCTTGATGTGGCCTGGACGAGGAAGAGGAGAGACAAACAGAAAGCATACCAAGTCCTCGGGCTCTGATGGGCTCCGATCTGTTTCAAAGGCAAAGGGGCTCGATCTAGGATTTAACCTGGTTTGGGTGACAACAGTTAGAGAGAGCAAATGAAGTCAGAAAACATCGACACTGGCGACTGTAAGTAGTTCTTTTGCTTTGCTTTGTTGTCTTTGTGCTTGCTTGTTTTGTACGTTGACCCGTCATGTCCGTGATAACCAGTGCCGCATCCAACACAAATCCCATACCCACACCTGTGTCAAGTCATGTTGACAAGGGTACTTTCCTTAAATTGCCGAGTCCATGATGTAACACAAATGCAACCTTTTTCCCTATATATTTTTTTCTATGTTTCGGGGTTTGAAATTTGTCTAAACATTCATTTTGCCAAATTGACAAGGCATGAGTTATGATCAACAGTTAAAACCTATAGTACAAATTCTAACCTTCATATCATAAATGCCTAATAAGGTCAACTCTTAGTAAAAACCTGAAATTTTTTTTATTGCATTGTTTAGCATGAAGTAAACACTTAGGCTAAGTTTGGCATCTTCAAAAAAAGCCAAAAAGTCAAAAAGTCACTATCATATTTAAGTCACATCATCTTATTTAAGTCACATCACCTCTCTACCACATCACTTCAAACCCAACCCATATTTCATAAAAAGTCAAAAAGTACACCTATTTAGAACCAATGTTTTAAAAACCGGACCGGTGAGTAAACCGGAAAAGGGATCGGGTGGACGGATCACCGGTTCAACCGTCGGATTGAACCGGAATCGAACTGTGACGTAATAAATATATTAAAATTATATTTAATTAAAAATATAAGTAATAAAATTATAAATTAAAAATATTAAAAATATTAAATTATCTTAAATATTTGTCTTAATATTTTTTTTACTGAAAAATATAATAATATATTTTAAAATATTATTAATTTCAATTTTGGAAGATGAAATCAAATATTTAATATTCCCTCCATATGATTTTAATTCAAATAATTTGATTGAAAGGAGAGCAAAAATTTTGGAGGGATATGAAAATTTCAATATTCCCTCCAATACATTTGATTGAATCCCACATGGATTTCTTGAGTTTTTTTAAAAGAGTTTTTTTCTTATAAATAGGTGAAGACTTTCACAATAATTTCATCAAACTCTTAATGGGATTCCTCACAAGAGGAGACCCTTGAAAAAGAGTTTCAAATTAAAATTTTCTTATATTCTTATATTTTATTATATTATATATATATATATATATAAAATAAGAAAGAAACAAAGAAAAGAAAGAAAGAAAATAAAACAAAAAAAAATTTCCGATCCGGATCAACCCGACGAACCGGCTCCGGGTCGACCGGTTCGCCGGTCCAACCGCCGATTTTTCCGGTTCTCCTTAAAAACGCCGGTTTTCATTTCTGACCGGTTTAGAGGGTCCATCCGGACCAGAACCCCGACCGCTCGACGGTTCAACCGGTTAAACCGGCCAGTCCTATCCGGTTTTCAAAACCTTGTTTAGAACATCTCAAACAACCCCTTACACTGAATCATTGTCAATAATACATTATCTTTGAATCTCAAAATCAATGTATCAATGGTGCTTTACATCTAGAGGTATTGTGTAAGCTCACTGGTACGCACAATAGCTCTTCCACGTGACATTTGTCAAAACATCTTTTAGAAATGTTTTTACTCTCAAATCTCAATTTTATACTAGCATCTTTAAAATCATTTTAGCTTACACTAAAAATTTTGATAAACTAAACATAGAACAAAAGGAAGCCTCTTTTTAGTGATTAGATGGGAGATAGACAATGGCATGATCTCACAACTAAGGTACACAAACTGAATCATATAATGGAAAAAATGAAGGCCCCAATATTGTCACCCCTGAAGTTGTTATGATATCATTACAATCGAATATATGGTTACAAAGGCAAGGCAAATCAGCTCGCCATATTCCTTTGAAAATCCAATAAAGCCTTGAAAAGCAATAAATATAGAATATTTAAATAACAATTAAAAAAATAGAGCAATAAATAAGGAAAATCAAGAGGTACAAAGTTGAAAGCTTGTTTTACAATCATGGGAATAGTTCTTCAATAGGCCTGCCAAAAAGAACTCCAACAACCCACATCTGACTGATACATCAAGAAGCAAAGGCTTTACAAGTATTCATTTAATCCTCAACTTCAGATTCTAACTAAAAAATGAATAAAATTAGCACATAGTCCTGTTTAAAAGAAATATATTCATTGAATTATTTCAAATAGAACATATAGCTCTAGAAGATGGAAAGTCAAAAAAGAAAAATACCTATTAAAGAGGTTTGCAACTTCCTCGCACTCACGGAAATTGTAGAACCAAATTCCGTTTACTTCTTGAGCAGCATTCCGGTACAACAGATATGGAGCTTGAAGTTCAAACTCAAAATCACCCAGGATATTCTCCACAAGATTATCTGTTTTATAATAAATAACAAGTCAGGACCATTTATTAAAAACAATGTTTTAAAAACCGGACCGGTGAGTGAACCAAAAAAAAGATCGGGTGGATGGGTCACCGGTTCAACCGTCGGGTTGAATCGAAATCGAATCATGACGTCATAAATATATTAAAATTATATTTAAATAAAAATATAAGCAATAAAATTATAAATTAAAAAATCTTAAATATTTCTCCTAATACTTTTTTTTTACTAAAAAATATAAAAATATATTTTAAAATATTATTAATTTTTATTTTGGAAGAAAAAATCAAATATTCAATATTCCCTCCATATGATTTTAATTCAAATAATTTGATTGAAAGAAGAGCAAAAATTTTGGAGATTTTGGAGGGATATCAAAATTTTAAAGTTTCCTACCAATAAATTTGATTGAATCCCACATAGATTTCTTGAGTTTTTTTGGAAGAACTTTTTTCTTATAAATAGGTAGAGGCTTTCACAATAATTTCAAACTCTCAATGAGATTCATCACAAGAGGAGACCCTTGAAAGAGAGTTTCCAATTAAAATTTATATATATATATATATAAAGAAAGAAAGAAAGAAAGAAAGAATAAATTTAAAAAAAAAAACAAAAATTTGATTTTATTGACCCAGTGAGGTCCGGTTTTTAAAACCTTGATTAAAAATACATAGATGGTAGATGTCCATGCATGCTCCCAGAGAAGCATTATTTCATTCCAATTTGCATTTACTAGAGTTCAACTTGCTCCAATACAAATTTAGAAAAGCTTAATTCTTTCAATGAGTCAAAGTCAGGGTTCATATAAGATCATCGACAGCCCTGAACTGTATGTATTTTCATCTAATAATAACCATCATCAAAACAAGCTTAAGATGGAAAAGTCACATTGTAAACCTTTTTAACCCATAGTAATATTGAATGGTAAATGGAAGCAAAACACATGATAATTAATCAGTCAATGAATCTACGTGTTCTCACCACTATCCTAGAAGACATGATCAGGCAACGACACTAATAACACCATGAACGCAATTATAACTCTCTCTTTCTTTTTATTTCACTGAGCAGATTATTAGTACCCCTTTACTTCTACATCATTTTTGCACCTTCGTTTTTTTTTTGACGTCATTTCTACTTAGGCTAAGTTTGGCAAGTCCCAAATAAGTCAAAAAGCCAAAAAGTTACTCAAAAAGTTAAAAAGTTAACACTTTTCACCAAAAGTCAACAATTACGGCTGCACAACTCCCAATTCAAATTTTCCTCTACAAACCAATTTTTACAATTTTTTATTACACATTTTTCCATAAAAAGTCAAAAAGTTAACCCAAACATCCATATTTTCAATCTCAATTTTTTAGTCCAAAAAGACAAAAAGTGCACTTATTTAGTCTTCCCAAACTTGGCCTTAAACTATGATCACTTCGTGGCATTCAAGAACAAACAAAGTGCAGTTACCAGGAGCAGATCACATTAACACAGTGAGCAATTAGGATTTTGCTCCCATCTATACAAGTAACGAAATTTTCTCGCATCATACGACAGCCAACCAAAATTCACACTGTCCAATAAAAAAATATTAGACCCACCATCCCAAAATGAAATTCATAAAGAGAATCAACTCCATTAACAGAGACAGTTTAACAGAGAAACAACAAACCAAACCTGTATTTCGCCGATTCATAACAATGAACTGGAACCGCGGCTGAGTGTTCCTGAAAATACCAAAATCAAATAATTGCACTACTTCAAATAATCCATCAACAATTACAGTCTCTCACTGAAAACACAATAACTGAAATAAATGGAGTGACAATTACTAAAAAATGATTGATCGAAGATCCTAAATTTACTATATATACTTCCACAACTTCAATCTGTACATAAACACAAAAAAACAGACCCTACCTCTTGACCACGAATAAAGACCCTTCAACGTCCTTGCGACTCTGCAATCAAGCACACAACAAATCAACAAAGCAAACAAAACATTAGTAAAAGTTCAAGTTCAAAATTTTAGCTTGATTTTCATTTTCCGGCATTTTCTCGGAAACCAAACAGAGGGAATTAGAAGAGAGACGAACCCATTGGTTGAGATCAATGTTGAATTCGTAGAAGGTGACGTGGGCGGCGGTGATCAAGATCTCCTCAATGAAAGGATCCATTCTCTGAAGCACAGTAAGATTGAGTACTTTTGTGCTGTTCCGGTCCAGATTTGGCATCAATTTACCGGTCTGAGACATTTTCGCTGTCCGAAACCCTAAACCCTAACCACAGAGAGAGAGAGAGAGTTCCGATCCAATTTGCAAGTTGAGTTGGGAGTTCTGGAAGAGTGAGAAGATTATCATATGACTCAGTGCTGTCAGTTAAAATGACTGAATTGTCCTCCTACCAATTGGGAATTTTATTAGCAATGAATCATATGATTAATGATTTTTTTTTTTTTTGGGGGAATAAGACATAAATAAAAAAACAGATGTGATGTTTTGTTTGTTATGGCTAAAATAGCCTATTTTGTTTTTTGTGGCTAAAATAGCCAAAAAAGCCTAAAAAAGCCCTTGCCAAACGGAGGCTTAATAAATAATAAAAAAAATTACTTTTATATTTTAGATATTTTAGATAGTATTTTGTGTATCAATACATTATATTAGATTATCTATTCTAAAATTTAATTTTATAAAATATTTATTTTATTTTCTAAGAAAAATGATGTGTTGAATCATTTTGCACATTATCTGTTGGAGCTAGGAAAGCAATGCAAGATTTGGTGGAGTATGAAGATTTGGTGCATGTCCGGCAGAATGAACATCCTCTTTTCTCTTGCCACTCTCTAAAACAAATAATTAAATATTGTATAATCTGTGGACAAAGTGATATACCATAACAATGTCAAATTTAATTTTGATGTAATCAAGATTAGGGGTGTGCGCGGTGCGGGTCGGTGCGATTTGAGAGAAAAATAAAAATCGTATGGCGGGTGGCGGATTGATAAAAGTGTCACTAGAATTTGTCATTTTTCTTATAAAAAATCGGCGGTTCAGTTGGCAAATAATGACGGATTTGCCTTGGCAGTTCGGGCGGATTGGCGGTTTATAAAAAATATAATTTCAATTACAAAACTTAAATCAAAGAGTAAAAAAAAGATGAGAGATACCGTGATGTTAAGCATCTTGCGAAACTTTTTTCTAATGCAGCAAGTGTAGCAACAACATGATAATATCAACGACTATGCCATCAGTTCATTACAAGTATCTGTGAAAGCTACAATGATCAAATACAATACATAAAATTAATATCATTCAGGGTTTACAATATATTGAAAATGTTTACTGTTGAAAAGTATTTAAATTGAAAAGTGAGCTGATGCAAGTTTGCAACATGGCCAGAAAAAAAAAAAAAAAAAGATTGAAAAATGAATTGGAATCCAACTTTATTTTGGATTACTGACATCTTGAATTCCCTTCGAGCAGTAATGTAATACTATATTATAAGGTATAGAACAACAAGCAAACTTAAGTAAAAAAAAAAAATTTAGAATCTTATAAAACATGGTTTAATAGCGGTGCGGGTCGGTGCAGTTTTGAAGAAAAATAGAAATCGGCAGATTGATAAAAGTGTCACTAGAATTTGTCTTTTTTTTTACCAAAATCGATAGTTCGATTGGCAAATAACAACGAATTTGCCTTGGCGGTGCGGTTCGATGCGGTTTTGACGGTTTCGGCGGTATTATACACATCCCTAATCAAGATGATGTGAGAGTGATTTTGAACCTTGCCTTGCTTTGCCAATTTAGGGTTGGTTTGGGACCACTAAATAAGCAACTTACATGCTTATTTGTTATAAATTGTCATATTATTTTTTTATTTTTTTGTATATATATATATTTTATAAAAAGTCAATTAGTTAAAAAATAAGCAATTTCCAAACCACCATTTAATTTTTTATTAATTTTTTATAAGATGAAAAAAAAGTTAATGTATTTAAAATGAAAAAAGTTAATGTATTTAAAATAATTATTTTAGTTTAATAGATAGTCATAATGATTTTGATTATCATGTATGATGTCAAGTTTTAGCGTTTTTTTATAATTTTCTTCAACTTTTTAAAAAAGCTGACTGTCAAAAGAGGCTATAACCAGGTATGTATCTCCAGGTATGTATCTGACCTTCTTATTTGATTGAGATATTATAAAAAAAAAATCTTTAAAACAACATCTATTATGGATTTGGTCTTTTTTATTTTGTTGAGATTTTATGGGAAATCTTAAAAATAGAATCCATTAATCAATTTAAACCATATGAGTGACAAAATCACATTTTGATGTTTGGAGTAAATTGACAAGTTAAAATTTAACAATGCCTATACTTTAAAGATTATTGTTGTAATTAGGCTATTGTTTTTCATGGGAGGCTATAGGTTGAGATACCGATGGCAGTGTTTGAAATCTTAAGCCTCTTTTGGGAAGTAAGTTAGGATTAATTTAATTCACTAAAAGATAAAATAGGTTAAAAAGTCAATAAGATAAATATCACATTTAAATCATAATTATTTTATTTTTTCTTTAAAAAAAAAAAAGTCAAAAGTTCTTTATAAAGAAAACTTTTTTAACCAGACTAAAATAACCAAACATTGAAATATCAAGTTTAAAAAATTCTTTTCAAAGAAGGCTTATAAATTGTTTACCTCGGAGTAAGATGCATGGCTTCTAGCCAAAGCCAAGTACCAATTGGTTGTAATGATTAATGATATTAGTTTCATTATCATGAATTTTGGGTTGTTTTAGTAACAAGTTAAAAAAGTCAAAAGTTAGAAGTCATCTTTTAATTTATTTTGAGTCATATCACTTCTCATATGAAATAATAAAAAAAGTTAAAAAATTAGTTTTTAACCATCTTTCTCAGGGAGATTTGGTGATAGCCCCCTCACTATCTAATTTATCTTTCAAAAGGGCAAGAATTATATAAGTACTTTCAAAACTCCCTAATATTTTAAAACTTGTTTCTTTTACCATATTACCCTCATAAAATTTTACTTTGTATGAAAGTAAAATTTTACTCTGTATGAAAGTAAAATTTTACTCTGAAACTAAAAGTAAAATTTTACTCTAAAAAACGAGTAAACTGTGAGACTTTGAAACTAAAAGTAAAATTTTACTCTAAAAAACGAGTAAACTGTGAGACTTTGAAACTAAAAGTAAAATTTTACTCTAAAAAACGAGTAAACTGTGAGACTTTGAAACTAAAAGTAAAATTTTACTCTAAAAAACGAGTAAACTGTGAGACTTTGAAACTAAAAGTAAAATTTTACTCTAAAAAACGAGTAAACTGTGAGACTTTGAAACTAAAAGTAAAATTTTACTCTAAAAAACGAGTAAACTGTGAGACTTTGAAACTAAAAGTAAAATTTTACATATATTCTCAAAATCTTGAATGAGGAATGTAACCATGATGGTGATAAAACCTAGACAATATTTAATAGAATTAAAATTCAATATTCTGAATTAATGATGCTCAACTTTTAGAGCTTACAAACAAAAAATTCCTAGAATTGAACACGTGTTCAACAACCTCCAAACCTCTCACGAACAAAGCAAAACACTCCACAATAATACATGTTCAGACAGCCAATTGTTCTTCTTCTGTGAACACGTGAAGGCAGACATTCCACAACGCAAAAAATTCCTCAACTTTTAGTGATGCTCCACTTCTTCTTCTGATATCTGAATATATATATATATATATACATATACACATATCTAGGGTAAGATATGAAGGTAGACAGCCATAGCAACCAGACTCAGAGAGTTGCATTCGTCGGTCTCTTGGTGCTCCTCCTCCCAATCTTTTCCCGCAATCTCTTCGATCCCTGTTGGGCCACGCTTCTCCTTCCATGTTCTCCGTACGTCTCTCTCTCTCTCGCGCCGCCGAATCTGCAGATTTGAACTTCTCCCCATCAAAATGGTGTAGATCTGAGAAGTGTAGCCAAGGGTATAATAGTCTGATAAAATATTTAAATAATAAATTTTGTCCTTTATGCAGGATTTTATAATTATGAGGGGGTTTAAAAAGTATAACTTTTTTCTTAGTCCTTTTAACAATGAAAGGAAGGTAAAGAGGATTTATAGCCAAATTTCTCTCTTTCCAAAACATCCAATTATAAGAAAATAAATATTATTTATGAAAAATACATTGAAGGAAAAAATAAAAATGGATCATTTTTTACTTATTTTATTTACAAGGAAGTTTTTATAGAAGAGTAGTTTAAATTTTTACATGATTTTATAGTCTTGTACTTTCTATATGAAAATAAGGGATATATTATTTTATTTAAAAAATAAGAGATAAAACAATCATAGATACCAATCCAAATCCTCCTTAATGATATCCATTTCTAGTTCAATGTCTATGAAATTGTCACATCAACATATATTTATTTTCGATTAAAAAACACTTAGAAGGGGAGAGTTTAAAATTCATTGGTTTTAGTATTTAATGATTTGTTGCAACATCATGTTTTGTAATAGATATTTACATATTCTATCTATGTAATGGATAGCATCTAGATGGATCTATTTAGAGTCCTAAGGCTACGTTTATTTAGCGAATTATATTGGATAGAATTGTTAGTAAAGGGATAGTAAAATGACGGATTAGATTGGATAGAATTGTTAATGAAAGGATAGTAAAAATGTGTTTGTTTTAATGATAGTGTGGGAGATAATTAGTAATGAAATTGTTAAATTATTTTTATATAAAATAAATAAATAAATTATTTCTGTATTAAAACAAATTAAAACAAATATTAAAGTAAACAAGTGCACTTGGTAAAAAAAAATAAAATTAAAAAAATAATTTTTTAATATAAAATAGACTCAATTCTCTCACTATTTTTCTAATCTCATCCAAAATCTACACAAGTTAATCTCCCTATATGAGGGTATTTATAGTCCCATTGGACTACTAGTCCCCTCCTATTTTTGTCAACCAAACATGGGTTATGTAAGGCTTACAGGATTGGTAGTCCAATCCTCCACCTATGGAGCCAAACAAACATGACCTAAATGATCAAAGGAAAAAAAAAAAAAAAATTTATTTTTTCGATGTGAAGGGATAACTCTCACAATAATGAAGATGGATAGAGTGGATTTGAAGTTAGTGCATTGTAAAGATAACAACAATGATTCATCCCACTAAAAATATCATCACTAATAGCACTAATGCATTAAAAAAGTAAAAAAAAAAAAAAATACAACTCCAAAATCAAAACATCACATTATTAATAGCAGGACCCACTGCCACCTAATTAGTGGGAGCACTAATTAGTGCTCCCAAGCATTTTTCTAAAGATAAATCTTGTTTACATGTTTTTACTTTGAGTGAAATTTTGAATAACTTGTTAGGTATGTAAACGCTTCTATGCTACTATTGTTCTACATAAAATTATCAAATGAAAGTATGAATTTATGCCCATAAGGCATGAACGACTAGGTTTTTTTTTTATTAACGTCATTCCTTAATTTTTTTCTCAATAATATCAAATCAACAATGGTAGATATCATGAAAAAAATTTTATGAAAATAATCATAAAAGTTTTGTGACCCTTGGATTACACTTAGAATAAAGCACCACACACTAATCAAGATAATCCAATGATCATAAATCTTTCATTATGAAAAAAATTTCATAATTCCTAACTTTTTCCATATCCAATTAATGCCATACTTTCCATTGCATGTTCTTGCATATCACAAGGTCAAATACAACATTTTCCATTTCACTTTCATTTTTTTTCCCCTCACATTGACAATAATAATAAAACACTGAAGAAACACAAATGATAAATTTGAAGACAATACAACCAAATCAAACAGAGTTTTCCATCTTGTTCTTAATGTTTTCGAAGAGCGATGGCAGACAAGACAACTAAGAACAAGAAGATGAGCACTGCAATGAACGATGCCACCACCGCTCCACTGGTTTGCTGGCAGAAATCAGTGAACTGCTGACATATAGCTAACCAATTCGCACTCTGATTCCCACTGTGAGCCAAGTAGACTATCGCAGCCGCCGAGCTTGCACATGCAGTGGTCAAAGCAAGCATCACCTTCAACAAACAGGCAATATATATTTTCAATCCAAAGATAAAAATGAGACAAATGAAAGACTCTGGCTTTGGCATCATTGAAAATTAAAAACCCATCACTATATGAGTCATCTAATTACAAGAATGTTATGTCACATCATTATGTACAAAATTTTTGTAAATTTAGAATTTTCCTTACAGAAATGTCACATTCATATCATTTTGATATAGAAAATTGAATATAAAAGAAGCTTAAGAATAATATTTTGCATGGTTGAGAATGGAGGAGGAGCTTACAGTGTCTAAGACGATAAGGAGCAACCTTGGTGCTACTGCATGTGGCCGAACGATGCGGACTATAGAGAAAGGAAGGGAGAGGACCAGGTAGCCACTTGCTATTGCCATTCCAATCACAAAAAATCTGCACCGATACCATGTTATGAAATTTTGAAATTATTTTTGTACACAAATAAGTATTTTCAAATTTGTCATTATTTTATTTTGGAAAACACCCTAAAAAAAAAAAAAAAAAAATGAGTAACAGAAAATTGGAAATGAAAAGGATATCACACAGGATGCTATCATTGAAAGCCTAGATTTTGGTATTTTATAACAAGCAAAAATAAAAAAATAAAAATTTGTCGTAAGAAAGTTTTCTTCTTCCCTTTGTGAGAATCAAACCACTCAACTTGATCTTAAGTGGTTTACAATTAATTCAGTAGAATATATATATAGATATTTGAATGTGTGTATACGTGATGGATGTACTATAAAAACTAATTAATTGTTGATTTTTTTACTAGCTGACAACTAAAAAATGTAGATGAATTTTGTTTTTTTTTAAAAGTTATAAAAATTTAAAACAAAAAGTGAGGCAGTTAGCGGGCAATTTAAAAATAAGAAAGTCGTGATAAAAATTTAGTAGGTTGTATACTTTACATAATAGAATATATATAATCAAATTTTACGTACTGAAATGCGGGCATATCATCGTAGCTGGCTTGGAACTGGAAGAACTGAGTGAAGAAAGGAAGAGTCTGATCAGTAGTTCCCATTGTGGCAGTTGCAGCTAGAGCGGCCGCAAGAGCACCTAGCCTCAAAACGAAGTCAAATATCGCAATCCCTCTCTTATACCCTCCTTTCTCATGCTCCATAGCCTTGGTGGTTGCTGCAACAACCACTGGAGTTGCCAAAAGAGGAGCTTTACCTTTAGCCTCTCTCCTTGTCTCTTCTGCATGCGCTACATCGATCGTAGTAGCATCAGCCATTAGTATTTTTGGTACTGAAAGAGAAAAAGAGGCTAGATTTGGTACAATACAAGCTTGTGATGAAAATGACTAGATTTGAGAGGGAGAGAAAGAGTTGAAGCTTGTGATGAAAAGGGCTAGATGTGAAACCTTATATAGGGAGACTCAAAAGAGTTCAAAGGACTTTGTATTAATATATTTCATAGAATATATTGGGGAAGTGTGTTGTTTCAGTTGATGGAGCAAGAAGAGTTGTTCACAACTTTTCCATTTGGTTGAATAGTTCTAATTTTTTTTTATACAATACCCATCACAAGGCAGAGAAGTGTGATTGGGTAGACAGATATGGGTTGGTGTATCAAAATAATATAAAATAGTTAAGTATATGAGTTATTCATAACCACTTGATCATCCACTCCTCTCACTTGATTATGATTCATTTAAAATATAATTAACAACTTATACCCCTAATCAGTCAACTAAACAACTACCTTCTCCTCCCCCTAATCCACTTTGTATTAGAGAAGCTTTTTTCACCTTCCTTGCACCATTAATTGTTTCTTTCTGGAAACCACATTATTTCCCAAAAAATTAATTAAGTAAAACAAGAAGTGCTCTTTGTTTTTATTAGAGTTCAACCTTTTAAATACTGTGAAGACATTTCTCCAAGTAATGGTGTATGAATTAGTTTTTCTTTTTCTTTTTTTTTTCTAAACCTTAGAGACAAAATAGTGAGAGTCCAATCGACCTAATAGACCGCCCCACCTGATTATTAAAGGGTTTGGGATGTGACAAGGGAGGACTAAATTGTAAGATTTTTTTTGGGTTATGGTTGGAATTAGTGTTTAAAGCCTAACTTGTCGCAGGCTATCATACGCCTTACATTAAAATTTTAGTAATTTTTTTAAAATTATCATGTAGAAATTGGGAGGGATAGTCTATATTACAAATTCAACTCACACAACATATTAGATTTTCTGACAATAAGCCTTCTTTTTTTTTTTTCCGGATCTTGTAAGTGATTTTAACAAGTGTATTCATGAAAACTTTAGAATGATTAAGAGTAACATCAAGATAAGGTCCTTGTCACATGTGAGGCATAAGGCAACGACTTTGTTTCTAGGCATGTTGTGATGAACAAAACATTTTAACTAAAATTTTGACAATTGCTTTTCAAATAATCTTATTCTAAAATATGGTTACAACTATTCTTATTAGATGATCAACCGTTCAAATCATCAACATGAAATTAGGTTATTAGTAGATATACATTCCATTATGAGTTTCATCTAATTTCCAAAAAAATTAAGATAATGCAAGGTTCTTGCTATAAACTCTCATTTAATTCTATCATAGGCTTTTCTTTTCTTTTTTTCAAATCTATTTTAATAGTCATTCCTCCTAAATTATAAATTTCCCACTTAGAATTAATCAATGATTCAATATTGGATACCATTACTGGCCTTCGAGAAACTAAATTTGCTGTAAAAAATGGTGAGATAAATTTATCATTGTAAAATCCTACTTCAACTTTTAATAATAAATTTATCATTGTAAAAATATGTTTTAAAAAAAAATACAATTCAATTATTCACAATTCTCATATCATATTTCAACACAATGAACACAAACAAATTAAAAATAAATAAATAATTCAGAAATTACAAATAAAAATCAAAATATCTCAATTATTTATCACTTTGATAAATTTAACAGTACCATTACTAGTCACAAATTGCCATTCCACAAAAACAAAACATATCTAAAAAATCTCCCAAAAATAATAATTATTAAAATGATAGATAAATATGTTAAAAAAGTATTCAGAAATTATGAACAAATATGTTCAATTAATAGGATCACTAGTAATTATTCCTTAATTGCCATTGAGTAATACGATACAAAAAAAAAAATAATAATAATTTTTATACATAGTGATGTGATTTATTATAAATCATTTATTTCAAATAAAATATCATTAAAGATATATTTATTTATAATGATAATATTATAGGAATAGAATTTCCAATTTGTGATCCTATGAGGCTTGGGTGGGTCAGAACCGCCCCATTTTACATGCCCAACCTAGTCCATTATGGTTTGACCCGAAGTTTGGAGACTCATCCATCTTTGTACCGCCCGGCCCGTCATTGTTCAGGCCTGGGTCACTGCTCCTTCCGAACCCGATCCGTTCACAGCCCTACCTCATTTTCAAACTCTCTATGCCTCGTTTGTTTCTCACTTCTCTCTCTCTCTCGAAGATGTGGGGTAGTGAAGGAGAAGCACCGGAGGTCACTCTCGAGACCTCCATGGGTTCTTTCACCGTTGAGGTCTCTCTCTCTATCTCTCTCTATCTCTCTCTCTCTCTCTCTCTCTCTCTCAATTTTAGCTTGAATGTGTGTGTATATATAGATAATCTATCCCTATTTATGCATTTTGTGTGTGGAAAGCAGATGTACTATCACCATGCGCCCAGAACTTGCAGAAACTTCATTGAACTCGCTCGCAGAGGTTACTACGACAATGTCAAGTTCCACAGAATCATCAAGGTCTCTCTCTCTCTCTCTTCAATTTCATTCTCTTTAACCTGAATATATATACCCATAAAATTGTATCATGTAATGGGTTATTTTTGTATTTGTTTTTGGCGTAGGATTTCATAGTGCAAGGTGGTGATCCCACTGGTACAGGAAGGGGTGGTGAATCTATATATGGGTATGTTCTCATTTTTTTGTTTTTTTCATTTTATTTGTTTATTTTTGTAATAGATAAGTAGATAACTATTCCCCCCACCCCAAAAATAAAAAATAAAAAATATTATCAATACTGGAATATATGTGAATGTTGTTGTTAAGTTTTTTATTTTGATTCTTTTTTTGTTGGACTTGTATAAGTTGAAACCATTAGATGATTTCCTGAAAAAGTTTTATGGAAATTTTATCATGATTCATTATGTCTAGACTCTAGTGGTGGAGAAGATACTAGTTGCTAATCTTTTGAAAAAAAAAAAAAAACTGCTCATTTTTGTTTATTTCGTTCCGAAGCCTCTATTGTACAAAGAAAAATAGAAAAGGACAGTTTAGTATTCTGCCTTTCGAACTCTATGGTGTGCATTGTTATTCACCCAATGTATCTTTGTAGAGAGTGAGGCGTAACCCATTCTGTTCCAAAATCCCGGAGCATCTCATTCAAATGACCAAGGGAGAGACGGAAAAAGGTCATCCAGAAGTTCACTGACTCTGTTTCCATTGGATACATGGGTTTGTGTTGAACAAAATGGTCTTCAAATATTCTCTTTGTGCAGAAGGGATATGGTCTTTAAGTAAACATACAATGAGTTCTCATTTGCAATGTACTCTAACTATTAAGATATAGCTTAACCAAATTTTCTTCTGTTACTGTGGGCGTACCGCATTAGTTTTTAAGATTTACTGTTTAGGTTTATTTGGTGTAGCTTTTTGTTAGAAGTCCTTCATGAAAAAGGCATTTTGCAAAAAGAAAAAATGAAGAAAGGAGTACAATTTTTCCAAGACCAGAGCTTCTCCTTAATAAATTCTACTTTAATATATTCAATCATGTTTTTTTATTATGGCTTCTTTCTGGTTACTAAGTGGATTCGTATACATCTTATTTGTAATGATTAATACTCTCAAAAGAATCCAACCTACAGCTTGAGCTGATAAACTGTGGTATCTATCTTTTAAGTTTTTTTTTTTTTGTTGTTGATCAAAAACAAAAATTTTATTGATTAATCAAAAAATAAACTGTGGTATCTATCGTATGTCTCAACGCTGCTTCTATGCTACATCAAATTGCCACTTTATCTTGACCAGCATAAAGTGATTCTGCCCAAACTGTTTTTGTATAGGCTGTCAGCTTAATATTTCTGTTCTCCAAGTGTAGAACTCCTATCCCATTACATGACTTTGAGCTCTGCATGCAATTTGTTAGTGCCCTTGTTTTAGGAGAGTGCTCCTAAGAGTGCCTGTTATGACTGATCCAACTTTCTGGGTGGTCTATATTAAGCACAGTGTAGCCACAAGATTTTTCTCAGCTCTTAATTTGTGACTGTTTGCAAAGTGATCTTGAAATGGTTGATATTGTAACAAAAGACCTATCATTGAGGTTGAAGTATGTGTAGCTAATTAGATATATTGTAACTTCATATCATTAGGCCTTTGATTGACTGAAACATAGTCTACTTGCATGTATTTTTGAAGTAACTGGAAGTTTTCTGATTTCAAAACTTTGACTAATGGGTGACTTGTCTCTTAATTTATTGCAGTGCTAAGTTCGAGGATGAGATAACAACAAAGTTAAAGCATACTGGAGCTGGCATTATATCCATGGCAAATGCTGGTCCAAATACCAATGGAAGCCAGTTCTTTATTACCTTGGCACCTACACCGTCACTAGATGGTAAATATGTGACTCTGCTTAGTAACTGGTAGATTTATTTTGTCAATCTGTTTAGAATAATGTCTAAACGTGTGAACTTTGCATATTTAGTTGGATGCTATAGGCTTTTGTGTCAACAACAAGGATGATTTCATGATGCTTAACAAGAAGACACATTCTTTGATCCTTTTCCTTTATTTTTAATTTGCTTTGCTCATTGCTGACATTCATGCTGGAGAAGGACATCTGGTTTAAGTATCACATAATCACTATTTTGGCCCCTGTATGTGGGGTTTAGACTTAATATGTATATTTCACAATAGTACCTATGGTTTTCTGCTAAAATACCGAAACTTTTCATTGTTTGGCACTTTAGAGGATGCTTGGCTATAACAATCAACATCTAGTTGGTGTATTAACAACCAAGGGTTAGTTTCTATACTTGTTTTATTGTGTGCCAGAAGCAGAAATTCTACATGTAGATCTTGTATTTTAAGCTATCACATCGTTACTTGCCACTGTAACTGTCATACAGAACACCACCGTTTCTTTCTCTTCTTCAACTCAGCTATTTACATTCAATATCTTTGATAATGAACCCTTCATACAGAACACCTCAAAATGTCTGCAGGGTCAAATTTAGGCTAACACTTGGTTTGTCATTGCTGGGTTTTGTTTTGAATTAAATCTCAGCATGGTGTGAGAATGGCATGTTTATTCTTTCATTTCTTCTATTTGATCTTCACTAGGTACATATATCTTGTAGCCTCGTTTCTTAGCTGATAATGCTGTAATTCATGATTATCTTTTGGCCAGGAAAACACACAATTTTTGGAAGAGTATGCAGAGGAATGGAAATTATCAAACGACTCGGTAGTGTTCAAACTGACAATAATGATAGGTATGTCTTTTTTCAGGATATATTCTTTCCATTTAGGTATTAATCCTCTATGCTTAGTGCACTCTGCAAGAGCTCACAGCTGTCTGACTTGCCATTCAATCAGAATACATGGGTAAAGTCAGTGTTTTTAAAGGCTCAAGGCGCACTAAGGCGCCGAAGGTCTCTTGGAGCCTAGGCGCAAGGCGAGGCGCGGGCTTTATTGAAGTAAGGCGCACAGTATTCGTAAAAAATAGAAAAATTAATATAGACTAATCATTCATAGTAGTAAGACAATTTTTAAAAAAATAAAAAGTAATCAAGATTCAAGACAAAATATAGAATAATTCTCAAAGCCATGAAAGTGCATATTACATAACATTCCAATTTTCAAAGATCAAATAATCCACATTCAATAAAATAAAAACATAAACACTAAACATCCAAAACATAAATATCCAACAAATATTAATATATGTTTTAACACTTAAAAACATCAATATCAAAAGAAATGGTAGGTTAGGTCGGTGTCAGTCAATCATCATCCTCAATATCAATGACAAGCAAACTATCATCTTCTTCTCCATCAGTTGATTTGTATCCCTCAACATCTTCCTCCTCTGTGTCATCTGAGCCCGCTTCCTCTTCATCTATTAATTGAAGTGAAGTCAATGTTGATGATTTAGATATCCTCGGTTGTGCCTTTGAGCGTGAACTTGGTGCTCTACTTGCATGGCTACTTTCTTCCTGTGTTACATGGACTCGCCACTTTGGGGCGAAGTACCCGTGTCGACACGACACGACACGGGTGCGGGTGTGGGATCTGTGTCGGATTCGCCTATTCTTTTTCGGACACGGCTCTTTACAGTGCAAAAGAAATGAAAAAGGTGAGAGCAAGAGAGAACCTGGTCGAACCAGTCGATCCAGTCGAAGATCGAAGACCTCGATTGAGCTCCATCCTTTCGATCCAGTCGAAGATCGCAGCTGCATCAGTCGATCGAACAGCTGAACACCCAGACGACTTCGAAAAGCCTCTCTCTCTCTCTCCCCCTCCCTCACACTCGCAATCGCGATCGATGGCTTCGCTTTTCTCTCCGTCTGTCTCAGTCGTTCGTCTCTGTTGATTCATATCTCTATTCGTATCTATCTGTATATAATAATAATAATAATAGTATATAATAATAATCTATCTATACCTGTATATAATAATAATAATAATAGTAGTTTATATATAATAATAATCTATCTATATATAATAATAATAGTAGTTTATGTATAATAATAATAATAGTTAAGGAACTGAATAATAAATAATAATAACTATTATTATGATAACTATAATAATAACTATTATTATTATATATTACATAATAATTATTATATAACATATAATATATTTATAAGATAATATATAAATTTACCTACACCTACCACCACCTACTACCACACCTACTACACCTACCACCAATTTACCCTCACCTACTCCTCACCTACTACCCAAACCCTCTCCTATATAATGAGCCACTCTGATTTGTAATATAAGATATCAAGATATATCAATCAATAATACATATATTTTTACACCTACCACCAATTTACCCTCACCTACTCCTCACCTACTACCCAAACCCTCTCCTATATAATGAGCCACTCTGATTTGTAATAATATATATCAATCATCAAATATCAATCACTACTACCACACCTACTACACCTACCACCAATTTACCCTCACCTACTCCTCACCTACTACCCAAACCCTCTCCTATATAATGAGCTACTTTGATTTGTAATAGAACAGATTAATTAATCAATCAATAATACATCTATTTTTTACTCTACATAATGAGAATAAAAAATATTTGAATTCAACAAAAAATTAGTTAGAATGTTAAATACTCACATGTTCGAATACATTCCAATTTCGTTCACAACCCGATGAACTACATGTTAGGCTAAGGACTTTTATAGCAAAAGTTTGCAAGTTTGGAGTATAAGAACCATATGATGCCCACTAATCAGCTGCGATAATCCACTAGTTAGAAATAATTGTTATCAAGTATTAAGTTTTACTAAAAGTATTACTAAAAATAAACTCTATAAGTTTATAATATATTACCTGGTGCTCTTGTATTTCTTTGCCTAATCGCAACAGTCTTGCCAAAAAGACTCTCAGCCTTCATATAAATACTCATCTCATTAGTGATCAAATCTTGAACAGTGACATCCGAGACCAACCTTTGCATGCATTCATAAAACTCATTCATCACTTCATGATCTTTTTGCACCTCTTAACGCTTTTGGGTAAAAGAATTCTGGGTTAAGAAAATGCGCAGCTGCATGTAAAGGTCGATGCAATTGGACATCCCATCTTTTGTCAATGATTTCGAAGATTTCATTATACTTCTCTTTTTTATGATCAAATGAACTTGCAATGCATTCTTTTGCTCTATCCATTGCCTCATAAATGTATCCCATGGGAGGTTTCTTCTCGGTATCAACCAATCTAAGCACTTTGACAAGAGGACCCGAGACCTTAAGGGCAAACACAACAGTATTCCAAAATAAAGGCATCAACAAAGTTTGTGCCATTCTTTTACCTTGTGGCTCCTTTGCCCATTTGCTTGAGGTCCAGTCTTCGGAGGTGACCATCTTTCTCAAATTGTTTTTTTGTTGATGCATCCTAAACAAAGTCAAAAAAGCGGTTGCAAATCTAGTTCTTGCAGGCTTGATCAAATTCTTTAAATTTGTATAGCGACTCATCATGTTTAGCAACGTAGGCCGATTGTAAATGTAGCCATGTACTGCAATACCCCTTTCAAATGTCTTTTTCAGTCTAGGTATCTTGAAAATGTCTTCTAACATCAAGTCCAAACAATGAGTAGCACATGGTGTCCAATACAAGTGTTCATACTTAGCTTTCAAAAACCTCCCTATAATGTAACAATAATGAAGAATTATTATTTTCAAGTTTTTAAATACAAAACAAACTATGAGTAAACAATTTTGATGCAAGGAATGAAGAAATATTCTTACCGGCCAACACATTAGCTGCAGCACACTATCAGTGATAACTTGCACGACATTCTCTTTTCCAACTTTCTCCACAAACTTGTCTAGTAATTCAAATAGCTTTTGCCCATCCTTTGAATAGCTAGAAGCATCAACCGACTCAACAAACATGGTTCCTCTTGGACAATTAACTAAAAAATTAATCAATGTCCTTCCTCTCTTATCAGTCCAAAGTAGTTGATTTTTTTAGGCGATATGTTTGGATGACCAGCTTTTGTGTTATCTTAAATCTGAAACACTAAAATGTAGACCTAGAAGTTATTTTGGCTTTTGTTTAAATTTCCCTTCTTTCCTCCACATATATTGCAACTTCCACCATGAACAGAAACCTTATGAAAAATCTGATTAATTTTAGATAAGTCTATTCTTGAATTATTTCATGATGATATCAGAATACTCAAATTATATGAATAAAAAGAAGGTAACTGCTAAATCTAATAAAGGGTTAATTACACCATTAACTATTTGTTAATATCACATTACCCCCCTCATCTATAAACCTGTACATTTTAACCCCCTCTACTATGAAAACCATACAATGCCTCCTTCTGGAGGGGAGTAGGAGGAGATGAAAGCGATGCATTTTTATGATTGAGGGGATCAAAATCTAATTGACTGTAAACCAAGCGAGATTCTGGTAGCAAACTTACAATAATTGCTCTCTCCTTGTGTGCATCAGAAGAATCTCATTACAGATTTGAAACCTGAGCTTTATGCCAGTCAAACAACTGGTGATACAGCTTCCTGGTTTATGATTATAGATCTTTAACCAGATGAGTCCACCTAAATATGTTTCATCTATTTCTCAGTGAATTGTGGATTTGCCATATGATTAACCTCATGAAAAGATCTATACCCAACCCTCTGTTGCAATTTAGCTACCTGAATAAAATTGGATTGATGGAAAAATATTTGCTGTCTTGTAATTATGAATTATTGGTTCATGAAATACAGAGATTATGCTGAATTAGGATTGTAAATTACTCTCGTCCTTGTGGAATGCTGTGATTATGCAATTCAGTATAGGGTTTGGACCCAAACAGGAAATTGTATTTTCATTTCACGATGTAGAAGGCTTTATTTTCCTCATTTCCTTAGCATGCTAAAGTTTGGTTTTCATATTAATAATGCCTTGTGTTTACCTCTGGTTTTTCAGACCAATCCATGATGTGAAGATACTGCGAACAAGTGTCAAAGATTGAAGTCATGTAGCTGCTGCAAATGCAATCTTTAGTTGTTGAAATGTCATACTTTCTAAAGGTGTTTGATATCCTCTGTTAATAAAAAATGTGCCGAACTCTGTTTGCTTGTATTTGAACACGGGATGACAATATACAGACATCATCAGAACTTAGTCATTTATGAATGTTAGATTCCTATGGTTATCGAGTCTATTTTGTGTTGTTTTGTTTTGTTTTTTCTTTTTCTTTTTTTTGTCTGTCTGTTTGTTTTTTATATTCTGGAAATATATATTATCTGCTGTTTATTTACTAAGGCAGTATGGTTATGGTATATTCATTCTTTCTTCTGTGTTTTTGCCCCATGATGATAAAATTGTAGTTACCATCATGCCATTTCCAATTTTACTCTATTTGTATATATATGCAAGTCGATGATTGACTTGTTCAATAAGATACCAAAGTGGATGATTGACTTGTTTCAAACTAGAAGCCATCGCGGAAAATTTTACACGGACATTGAAACTGTCATACTTAAAAATCAGACAGACATTTTTACAAGTGGTTTACTACATCAATTGTGATTTTTGCATCGAGTTAAAAGGGCATTACCGATTTAAATAATTTAAACATTACAACAATTCTTTGGATTTCATGAGGGAGCCAACACTGTTGAACAATTAAAACCTTCATTGGATGGTTATAAAACTGTTATAAACACACAAACCCCCTTAAAACTGCTATATCATCAAACTAGAATTGAGAACATTTCCCCATCTAAGTAAATTTCACAAAATCACGAAATTTAAACTAAAAGGCAGCCTATTTCAACTTACATTTTACAAGCCACACACACTAGCATCTATAATTCAGAGGGGGTGGGAGATGAAGACAATACCTAGTATAAGCGCACGAATGTGCAAACATTCATACCACATTGCAATACACTACAATCCTATCTTGAATGGAACAAAATTAGAGAACCAACCATTGCTAGCGTTCTCTTCCCAAAAAAATTTGACCCTATGCATCAAATAGCAACAAATAGTTGCCTCCATAGTTAACTCCAGCCTCAAATTCAGCAGATCACGCCTTGATGAATATATACGATACAGGAGGCTCAATTTCACTTGTGCAATAAGCGTATTTTCTAAAACCGGGAATAGCATACTCCTTGTAAACTTGAATTTCAGCTCAAATTGCCCGAGTTAGGCTGATTCAACAGGACAACCCCATTTTCTTCACTAGTGGAGAGATTTAAAATAGAATGAGTTTCCAAATTAAACCCATTTTTCTTGACTGAACCTAGATGGCCTTCTCTAGAGTTTGTTGCTGTCTTTGTTGGCTCAGAGATTTTCACAGTTGGCTCTTCAGAAGAAACTTGATGAATCTGCTGCTGTTGTAGAATTTCCATGCATCTTAAAGATGGCACGTCACCTTTACAAAATCTCTTCCACATTTTCCGGTATGTTGATTCCAGACCAAGAGTGAATTTTGATCCATCACAAAGGGGAGACTTAGACATGAGATCTCGCAGACCCGTTCTCATGTTTGAGAGAGCCGTTACGTCTGAGGCCAATTTCAGTGCTAATTGGACATACTCATCCTCATTCTTGGCAACCAGATGGCCTAACCCTGTATGCAATAGCCATGAAAGTCACTAGTTGTTAGGATTTAGGTTATTTTACTAGATACATGCTGCAATGGGAATTGCATCAGCAAGAACAAGCAAACCAAATAAAAAATAATAATAAAATAAATAAATAAACAAACAAACAAGTAGATGTGCACACACCAAAATTGGTGATATCTGATCAAGACCTGAACTCCAGTTGCTGAGCTTGAGAGCGGAGAATTGTACTTTGTCAAAAACCAGGAAATATAAGGACTAACGGGAAGGAAAGGTGGATGACAATATTTTATTTTCTTTTGGAGAGGAGGAAAAAGTGGTTAATTTGCTTTCCATTGTAAGAATTTTCTAAATGATTTCTGGTCTTAAGGTAAATGTGAACATAAGTACTTCGGTAGGATTAACCATTCACATGATACATTGCATAGGGGCGTGGCAAATAAGATTCAAGAAAAATAGGGGATTTTTGTTATTTTATCTTTGTTCCAAGGGGTGTGGAAAACAAGATTGGAAGATGATCAGGGATTTTTTTTGTTAGAAGGTAGTTGTTGTGGGTACGATCATGCACTCGTCCAACGTGGAGAACCACGCCATCTCCACATTGGCATCTCCTAGTGCTGTAGCACAATGTGTCAACCTTGTGAGGTGGCCACATCTCCTTTATGTCCAAAACATCTAAGGTTGGACAAGCCTAGATCACCTCACTTAGTTCAGCCAAGATTACCCCAAGCAAGCAATCAACGTAAGTCGATCTCTAATTGGTTGTCTCCGTGACTTCTCCAAAATGTTAACAAAAAGATAATTGATTGTTTCCATGACTTCTCTAATTGGTTTTTGCCATCATCCACAGTAGTGGTGAGGAGAAAAAGGATCATTTGATCAGTAAGGAATTAGGATGTAGTTCCCAAAAGATAAAGAAAGTCTTGCTTTAGGAAAACATTGCAGCTAAGAATATTGCGCTACTTGGAAAAGAATTATGGAAATTTTCTTTGGAGCGTGAATGCTTATGGCATTCTGTTATTAAGAATAAGCAATAGTTTCAAGCCAATGGTTGAGATTCTTACATGGTGAACTGGGAAAATTTTCGGATCTCCATGGAAATCCATTTGTCAAGGTCTTTCACTTTTATCTGTTCTTTTTTGGTTTGTTTATCTGTGGGTAAAGAAGACAGTATTCGGATTTGAAAGGTTAAATGGAAGAGAGGGACCGCATTTAAACCTTTTGTTTCCCCGTTTCTGTCGTCTATCATGCTCTCACAATGCCTCTATTGATTCTATGGCTTCTTCTCAATTGGCTCCAATTTCTTAGAATTTTAATTTCTTCAATAACCTTAATGATTGGAGGCTAATGAATTGGCCTCTTTATTGTCTACTCTTGATGTTTCTTTGAGACCCCAAGATTACTGAAAGAAACTAGTGAACTATTCATTCATTGGGATCATTCTATCGTAACTTGTAAGTCATCATTTGACAAGATTATTAACAACTCAAATACACCATTTTTTTACTCTCACGAGAAGATTTGAAACGCAATTGTGCAACTTAAAGTATTAGTGTGGTCTATGGCACATAAGAAACTCCATACTAATGGCATCATGGTTCATAATGTTGCATAAAAGGAGGCCTCATTGTCATTTTCCCTAGCAACAATCCCAATTTAAAGAAAATGTTGTGCTATGTGTAGAAGGGATAAGGAGAGTATAGATCATTTAATTTGCATTGTCCAATGGCTATATGCCTCTATGGGACAAACTATTTTAGCTGGTGAAGATTGATTGGGAGATTTTGATTGACTACGGCGCAATGGTCTAATTAGGAAGGCTCGAGTGCTTTGAGATTGTGTAACAGTATTGTTTTGGGGGTGAATTTTCAAGAATAAATCAGAAGAATTAGCAAGGACTATGGAATAAAGTGTATTATTGCCTTCTTTTGGGGCTTCAGTTTCATCTCCTTTTGAAGGAATCTCTTTGCTTTTTTATTTTTAGAGATTGGAGAGTGGTGTGTGATGCATAATTTTGTTTTCTTGGACTTACCATCCAATGTTGTATCATATTGCACTACTTTTCTTTAATTGAACTCTTCTTTCATTCTTGATAATAAAAAAATTAATAAACAGCCAATTCAAACAATTTAAAAAGAAAAGGTCAATACTTTAACAAAGGTATAAGAAAGGACTTCTTAAAAAAAGTATTAGAAAGGGATGCTTCTCACCAACTGTACTGAGAAGACTCACACCAACATTATGGGCATGTACTGAACCTCCCATAGTGACACATGGAACTCCCATGTACAAAGATTCACAAGTAGTAGTTGTTCCCGCATATGGGAAAGTATCCAAGCTACATAGAAACAATAGGATAAGCATTAGACATAACAGAATTGGATAAACAAGAGAACTACCAACCCAATGGACAACAAAACCTCTAAAATGTGAGGCATGAAAATAATCTATTCAAAGGATCACTTGATTTGTTCTAATTCTTAGTAGGAACATCAATTTATTCCACAACGAGGCAAATGAATCAAAACCATAGGTAGATAATAAATCCATGCCTTAAGACACAAGGAGACAGATAAATTACAAACACAACCGAATTTTCTTCATCATCAATAGAAGCGAAATAAAGTTTTAATGCTAAAATACTTATTAAAAAAATGTTTACACTCGTATAGACATATTTTAAACAGGAAAAAAGAAAAAAAGAAAAACGGAGCACATTGAGAAGGCAACAAATAAATTTTGAGTGACATAGGTCCACGTGTTCTCTTATTCTTTTGCTGGGCACTCTTGTTGAAATGTGTAGCCAAATGTGTAGGACAAAAATCCCGTATATTATTACATGCAACACGAATACATCCATTAATTGAAGTATTCACCTCCATAGCTACTAATCTAAAACAAAATTGACAATGTGCGAAGGATTGGGACATAAACTTAAGACAAGGGAAAAAAAACTGCAAGAGAGAAAGAGTATTAATCAATACCAAACAAAATCATAGGCATTTTGCACGCTAAAAGTAGCAGCAGATCTGGTTCCCGAGCATTTCAAGGAAAAAAAGAAAAATGAGGAATAAAAATTTTCTTAGTGATATAGTAAAGAGAGCAAAGTACTACCTAATGTCCATAAGAGCATATGATTGCATATGGTCATGATTGAGAAGAATTAGAGGCAAAAGATCAACTCGTTGGGATTCCAAACCTAACTGCTCCAGTGTTGAAAGGAATCTCTGCCTTACACTATCACTACAGAAAGGCTTACACTTTACAACAAGTCGAGAGTTTGGAACTGCGCATAAAATCCTAGCCCAGACTTGTAGCACTTTGGTCGTTATCTGGTGAGAGGAGGGAAAACATAAAATCACAGTTTATCAGCAAATATAATGCTTCCATCATATATTAAAAGATACACTTAAACACAGATTTCTTGTTCCATTCCAATCAATACCTTTGCTAGATTGTTAAAGCTACCAAAAGTAATGAAGCCATTGGAAAGAGCAGGAGTTGGAGATACAGGCCCAGCTTCAGGAGATGGTGTATAACAAAGGAAACATTCTGGTAAGCGAACTAACTCTTCAACATACCTGCCATTTAACAATGCAATTAATGTAAGAGATTTTACATTGTAAATCCATACTAATCTTTCCTAGGAATTAATACTTGAAAACAATGTGCTGAAAAATGAAAACATCACCCACACCCACTTGTGTCTCGTGTCAGGAGAGTCAGCCAATGCATCAGTGATTCTATAATCAATGGTAGGCAAACCAGTCGTATTTGGGTATCCAATCCAAGTCACCTAAAAAAGAGGCAACCAACAAGAATATTAGAAGCCAAGCAGGCACCAGAGTAGAAATCCAGCATCAGATCCACCACGTGCAGGCTAATCCAACGTGGGTAGTTCAAAAGTATTCTAGATGCAAATCCCAAAGGTCTCTGTCACTACCAAATTAGGCTAGTTCTAGTTTTGTAAATTGACCAACATAAAATAAATAAATAAAAGTCAACATAGAAAGAAAAAAAAACAAGTAATCTTGTTAAACTCTAATGGCTTCCTCATTTTTCTCTTTGCTCCAGCTTACCAGCTGAAGGACCAGTCGCTATGCTTCCACTTGCAAAAGTTTTGTGCCAACAAATATCCTTGAAAACTGATTAACCATATCAAGGTTTTTACAATATAAATAAATAAAGAGTCAAATTAAAAGAACTGCCTTTACAAAAAGAGAAGTCATTTAATACTTTTCCAAAATATACATATATATATATCCACGGCCTGTGAGACATACTGTATGCAAACAAATCATTTTCTTTTTAAGGCAAGAATTGACGTGCACAGCCACCAAATGAGTGATTATGTCCAATCCATTCTGATGAGTCAAGTCCATATTACCAAAGGGCAACAGCCATGACCAGATGTAATCTATCTACTTTGCAACACATTCACAGTGACTTGAATTGAAGAGGTAAATCACATCCAGGGGAGCAAATGATATAAATTAAAAAAAATCCCTTAACCTGAACTGGTGCTGGTCGGCATGCCATCATTCCCAACTTATTATTAGCGGTATGACCCGTAAGTTCTATCAAGATATCAACTTTATCTTCTCTAACCATGCTTGCAACCTTCTTCTCATCAATCCCATAGATATCTCTCCATATCCCACCTTTTTTCAAAACCTTGTCTCTAAATCTGTTAGTTTTTGCGTCTGCCTGCGACGTCGAAGGGAAACAAATTTATGGAACTTTTTCTCCACACAGGTCAGTAAAGTACTTATTTTGTAAATGCATCTATAGATAAACAGAAAATTTTAAGATATTATAGTTTAAAGTTGACCAAGCATGCAAAGTAGTTGCAAAATTACATTTCAAATTGGCATGATATGATGCATAGTTGCAAAACCTAAAATACATGGGCAGGTGATGTTAACAGTTCTAAATAAATAAATCATACAAAGGAAATACCTTCACAACTGCTGAATAAACCACCACCTTGTGATTTGCATAGTCATGATATACAAGAGGTGCTTCAATGAAATACGATACAGAATGAGTAAAATAATCAGGTGATACATATCCAATAACAAGTGGTCGTTCTGGATCTTTTGGATTTTCCCATGAAGTGTACTGTGGATATAACCTCATAAAGCGCCTACCCCAATCTCTGCAAGTATACATTTCAATTAGACAAAGCCTCATGGCAGCTAAAGCTTCACATATTTTTCAGTAATATAAGCATTTTAATACTTAACAAAAATCAAAACTCTGAAACATATAACAAACACTGTTAAAATAAATTGATGACTTAATAACAGAAAAATAATAAAATAAAAACATGGCCCTCTTGGAGTGGGGGAAATTCAGCGGGGGAAATTCAGCGAATATTCTACCTGAAACTCCAACGCTGAATCATTCAACACTAATAGAATTGGTGTTCCAATGCCAGTTCTCTAGTTTGGTTTCACTTAGGAAATGCCTAACTAAACTTTTTCATGAATTATAATCTCCAATTTACAGCCAAGAAGCTAACTTCCTTTACGGAGACTCCATCATTTAAAATGGCATCATTACACTAAATCAATCAATGAGATAATCCATAAAAGCTATGTAAACACAACTAAAAGCTATGCAAACCCAACTAAAAGCTATGCAAACCCAAGAAGCTAACTTCCTTTACAGATTTATGCTGTTAATAACTCATTTGGACTTTCTAAAACTTGAAATCCTAAAACTTCACGACTTCCACTTTGTGAATACTTGAAACTTCTAAAAGTAAGACACCATGGGCTCTCAACTCCCACTTTTCTACCATCATATAATGCATACAAAATAAAACCATTTGCAATTCTTTTCGTATAATAAAATACGAATGTGTCTGTGATGTAAAATATAAATAATTTGTTCAAATTTTGTATATATAATTTATAAGTTAGAATGTAAAAAGATGGACTTTAGGGTTAAGATTTAGGAAGAAGAAGAAGAAGAAGAGAAAAGAGAGAAATTTTATATCTATTGAATAATCTTCCAGAACAGCCACTTTACATCAGTAAGTCAAATATATATACAAACCCTAACATAACAATATGACCATCGTACCCTCAACTTAAGTAAATATTAACAAAAGAACAAAATAACAAAATAAGTATTCTAACACTCCCCCTCAAGCTGGAGCATAGAGGTCGAACATGCCCAGCTTGACGGATAAACGATAAAACGAAGGCCGAGCCAAAGGCTTGGTTAGAATATCACCCAATTGATCCTCAGAACGAACATAAGGAGTCACAAGTTGTTTGCGGAGTAAGAGATCACGAATAAAATGACAATCAACTTCGATGTGCTTGGTGCGTTCATGAAACACAGGATTATTGGCAATAAAGATAGCAGCCTGATTCTCACAAGACATGGTCATAGGAGTGGGAACAGAAAAGCCAAAATCTTGGAGAAGAGACTGAACCCAAAGCATCTCAGAAGCAGTATGAGCCATGGCACGATACTCAGCCTCGGCACTAGAACGAGCAACAACAGTCTGTTTCTTGCTACGCCAAGTAACAAGATTACCACCAACAAAGGTACAATAGCTCGAGATGGAACGGCGATCAGTCTTATTACTAGCCCAATCAACATCATCGAAGCCAGTAACAAACAAAGAAGAAGATGGGCGATAGAGCAAACCCCGACCTGGAGCACGCTTTAAGTATTGCAAGATACGACACACAGCCACAAAATGGGATTTACGGGAAGCATGCATAAATTGACTAACCGCACCCACGGCATAGGAAATATCGAAACGAGTGACGGTGAGATATATTAACTTCCCAACCAACCGACGATAACGACCAATATCGGGAAATAAGTCGCCGGTGTCACCAGCAAGCTTGACACTAGAATCCATGGGAGTATCATTGGGGCGAGTGCCTAAGAGACCAGTCTCAGTAAGAAGATCAAGAACATACTTCCGTTGAGAAAGAAACAAGCCCTGAGAAGAGCGGGCAACTTCAATCCCAAGAAAATACCGAAGATGGCCCAAGTCTTTGGTGTGAAATTGTTGTCCCAAATACTGCTTCAAATCAATAATACCATCGGAGTCACTCCCTGAAATGATGATGTCATCCACATAGACAATAAGAACAATACTCCCAGTAAACGAGTGGCGAACAAAAACAGAGTGATCAAAGGTGGAACGGCGAAAGCCATAGGCAAGCACAACAGCACTGAAGCGATCAAACCAGGCACGAGGGGACTGCTTAAGGCCATACAAGGCCTTCCTCAATCTACAAACAAGATGCTCTTGGTCGGGAACAACATAGCCAAGGGGCTGATCCATATAGACCTCCTCTTGGAGATCACCATGAAGAAAGGCATTCTTGATATCAAGTTGATATAAAGGCCAAGATTGATTAACGGCAATAGAGAGAAGAATCCGAACAGAATTAAGACGAGCCACAGGAGAGAAGGTCTCCAAGTAATCAACACCATAAGTCTGGGTGTAGCCTTTAGCTACCAGGCGAGCCTTAAGCCGCTCAACAGTGCCATCAGGAAGATACTTAACAGTATAAATCCAACGACAACCCACAATAGATTTGCCAGACGGCAGAGAGGTAAGTTTCCACGTGTGATTCTGATGAAAAGCATGCATTTCTTCATCCATGGCATGCTTCCAACCAGAGATGGATAGAGCCTGTTGAAAGGTGCGGGGAATGGAAATACTAGACAAGCTACAAGCAAAAGAGTAAAGACCAGGAGAGGGGCGATCATAAGAAACGAAATGAGCAATAGGATGTTGAGTGCAAGTTCGTGTACCTTTGCGAAGTGCAATAGGAAGGTCATCATATGGCAGATCAACAGGTGGAACAGGGGCCTCAGACAAAGAAGATGAACTGGTCGAGCCATAAGACACAATGCGACGAGCTTGAGACCGTATAAACCTGCAAAGGAGGGGATATGGGAGGAGCATAAGAGGGAAGAGTAGGAGTGAGAGAGGCTGGCTCTCCCTCACGAGAAGAGAGAAGATCAAGAGATAACTGTTGCCCAGAGGGAGAAAAAAAAGGAGTAGACTCGAAAAAGGTAACATCTGTACTGACAAAGTAGCGACGGGACTCAAGATGATAACACCAATACCCTTTCTGAGTGCGAGAATAACCTAAGAACACACTTGTGGGCTCGAGGAGATAACTTATCCAAACCAGGGTCAAGAACATGGACAAAGGCCACACAACCAAAAATGCGAGGAGGCAAGGAAAAAGAAGATGTTGTGGGATATAACAGAGAATAGGAGATGTGTGTACAACACTAGAGGACATGCGATTGACAAGCAAACAAGCGGTGAGAACTGCATCGCCCCAAAACTGTTTGGGGACATGCATACTAAACATCAGGGTGTGAGCAACATCTAACAAATGGCGGTGTTTCCGCTCTGCAACACCATTTTGAGGAGATGTATGAGAACAACTAGTTTGGTGGATAATACCATGAGTATCACAAAAGGTAGTTACAATAGATTGCACATATTCTAAGGCATTATCAGACCGAAATATCTTAATACGTTTGCCAAATTGAGTAAAGATTTCACTATAAAACTTAGAGATGATGGAAGGCAAATCAGATCTTTGTTTCATTAAAAACAACCAAGTCATTCGAGAGTAATCATCCACAAAAATAACAAAATAAAAGAACCCATTAACAGCGGGAGTTCTTGAAGGACCCCAAATATCTGTATGGACAAGAGCAAAAGACTCAGACACACGACTAACACTACGACTAGGAAATGAACTACAGTGATGCTTCCCAAATTGACAGGCTTCACACTCAATCTGAGAAATATGACTCAAGCCCGGAATAGCTAACTTGAGCTTGGCTAAGGAGGGATGACCCAAGCGAAAATGCCACTGAAGAGGAGATCCACTAGCACTCAACACAGCAGATGAAGGATGAGGAGAGGTCTCAGTGTCCAAAAAGTATAAGCCATCATTCTCATGCCCCGAACCAATCATCCTCTTGGTCTAGAGGTCCTGCAAAACACATGAAGTAGGAGAAGGTTATTGAACAATAGAGAGCTTGAGTCAATTGGCTAACAGAAAGCAAATTAAATGAAAATTTAGGAACATAAAGACCAGAAGGTAAGGAAAAGGATGGAGTGGGATGGAGTGGACCTTGACCACAGACAGGCCGAGAAGATCCATCAGCAAGTATAATGGTATGATCAATAGGTCTAAGAGTATCAAAAAGAGAGGAATTACCAGAGATATGGGAACTACCACCAGAGTCTAGGAGCCACGCCTGAGAGAACTTAGCCACACAAGCAATATTACCTGAACTAGCCATGGTAGCAGTAGAGGATGAAGGTAGATTAGGCCGGAGAGACTAGACAAGAGCAGTAAGCTCACTAATCTGAGTAGTGAGTGTCTCATAAGAATTAACTGGAGAAGCATCAGAGCCAGTGGATAACAAGGAAGACTGTGAAGATGGAACATCCATAACCTGATGAACATGATCGGGTTTGCCATACTTCTGCCAACACCAAGGTTCAGTATGACCTAGGGAACCACAATTAGTACACTTGCGATCGCTACGTGTACGAGAACTAGGTCCACTACTACCTCGGAAACCACCACGGGAGCCACCACCACGGGAACCAGCCCCACGAGAACCCCGTGAACCAGAATAAGAGCCCCGTTGACTAGATGTGCCAAGAAAACCCCCTCGAGTAGACCCACGATTAGCACTACTCGAGACTAATGCAAAAGATGACAAGGTAGAGGACCTAGAGATGGATTGGGGCTGCCCCAAAGAAGAACGTAACAGCCGAGAGTAGGCATTGGCAGCAGAAGGTAGGGTCTCACTGGCAAGAATCTGATCCTTAAACCCCTAATCCAGAGAGTAAAGAAGCCATCATGAACTCCTCCCAATGTTGCTTCTGTTTGTTCACATCAGTAGTGAAGGGACGATGCTGCAATAACTGATCCCACAAGATCTTGAGACTACTATAATAATCAAGAAGGGACCAACCAGACTGGCGCATAGCAAAAATCTGCTCATATAGCTCATAGACCCAAGAGACATTACTCTGATTTGAAAATGATTCAGCAAAAGAGTCCCAAATTTCTTTAGAGGTATCACAAAATTCCACGGTAATAGCAACCTGTGGTTCCAAGCTATGCCAGATCCAACCCATAACACAGGAATCCTCACTACACCAATCATCATAAACTCTGTCATCAGTGGCAGGAAGGAGTTTGCTAATGAAGCGGGATTTCTTCTTACCACGTAAGAAAATTTTTACAGCATGAGCCCAAGCCAAATAATTGGCACCATTCAACTTCTTGGTAGTAATAGATTTGGGTATGTCATCATCTTTACTCACAGCCATTGCTTTGGTCTCAATTTCAGCCATGATAGTCAATCACACAAAATATTCAACACAAGAGTATGAAGGCAGCAAAATTTTTGCAAATAGGACTTATCCACACCAATCAATACGTACAACCAAGAGTATAGCCACTGGAACTAGTTCAATCAACAAGAATTCAACAAAAATCAACACTGTAAAATCAATCAGACTTTCCTAGAGAAGTTTCAGTCCCTATCCAGTAAGTTTCAGTGGGGGAAAGCTGGAAAATAACACTACCGACTGTGTAGTAGCAGAATAAGGCCAAAAAACGAAGCAAACATCAACCCAACAGTAGCAAATCAACAAATTAATGGCAAATAACAGGGAAGGGAAGAGTTTCGGCTCCTAGAGAGAGAATTCCAGCAAGTAGATTCAACAAATAACAGTTCCAAATCCAGATTTGTCAATTGAGACCAAAAAAACCGAAAAACATTCAAAAATTGAAAACTCACCTCAGGGATGTTCAAAAAATTCCACAAAAATCACCATAAATCTGAGGATTAAATTTCGAACCTAGGGGTGGAAGACCCGTCCGTACAGTGCTTACGTCATGCTGACATCATCATACGACTGATGACATCAGCACATCTCGGTCACCTCCAATCAATCTTCAAAGTCAGTAGAAATCTTTCTAATGAAGAATAGTGTTAGAATTTTACCATCACCTACCACCACTACACTACACCTACTACCCAAACCCTCTCCTATATAATGCCACTCTGATTTGTAATCCAACACATCAATACAACAATCTTGTAATATATCAATCAATAAATCAATAATACATATATTTTAACAGGGGATAATTTTGTTAAACCATACCTATTTTTTATTTTTATTCTTATTATTATTCTTCTTCTTATTAAAAAAAAAAAAAAAAAAAAAAAAAAGAAAAAGAAGAGGGTGAGTGTGTAGTAGGTAAGGAGTAGGTGAAGTGGAGGTGGTAGGTGGAGGAGTAAATTGGTAAATTCTAACAAATAGATTGTTCTGATACCAAGTTAGAATGTAAAAAGATGGAATTTAGGGTTCAGATTTAGGAAGAAGAAGAAGAGAAGAGAGAGAAGAGAGAAATTTTATATCTATTGAATAATTTTCCAAAACAACCACTTTACATCAGTAAGTCAAATATATATACAAACCCTAACATAACAATATGACCATCATACCCTCAACTTAAGTAAATATTAACAAAAGAACAAAATAAGTATTCTAACAATATACATTAAAAGATATATGTTTATCAGCGTGTTCCTACTCTTTGTCTAATCTTCTAGTAACTTTCATGATGGCGTTATCCATATCATGTTATATTTGTTCCCGTGTTTGTATCCGCACTTCTTAGTTGATGGTGGAATGAAAAAGTTCAAGCAACAACAAAATTTGAAACTTATGCAATAAAACATAAATGAAAAAAGGGTTGGAAGATTTTCTTTTATTTTTTTGGTAAATAATAGAATTCATTAAAAACGAAATTAAGGGAATGCCACAAAATTAGAATAAGAATAAGAAAAAAAAGCCAAAAATACTACTAACCCCACCTCCTCAAGTATCAAAAAGCTCAACGTAATCCGAGACTTACTCAAGAGAAGGGTTAACAATACCCTACTCCCAACCAAGCAATAAACTCAAGAACAACTTTTAAGCTCATACAACTAGTCCATGGGATTTCTATTACTTGATGATGTTTGCAATTGTACCCCAATGGGAAAGTGCACCCACAATACTAAGGATTAAATCCCACAACCACAATGAGATCTCCCCTCTTGCTTCAGATTGGACATCTGAAAGGTCAAACATGCACAAAGCTCTTGCTAATAGCAAGCTCTGGGACAGGTAGTGGGTACACAACATGGCCCCCACTTTTTGTGGAGAAGTTGAATCTCGTGACTTGAATCTGTGACACAGCTGGGGTAGGTAACACTTACCATAATGTCAGCTCATGATAAAAAGAGAGAAAAAAAAAAAAGAGAGAAAACAAATTGAAGATTTCATTATGCATTTTACTAAAAGAAGAATGAGAGAATGAAAGGATATGGATTATCTTTATTGGATGAATACTTCTACTGTTAAAAAAAATGTTCATAATGGATTAGCCAACACATTCAAAGAATTTGAATGCAAATATATAGTAGTTAATTGAACCTGTGAGCCTCAAATAGTTTATCATCGGTTCCCTCATGTATGTAATTCATTGCAAGTAATCGGTTCTGCAAGAAATTGTCAATAAAATACTGATAAGAAAAAATCTGTTAAATGAACCCAACAAACAAGAAAACAGAGAATTATTTTAGCAAATTTCTCAGGACGCACTGCAATTAGCGAAGTTGTTCATAATTTGAGATGCATTGAACCAGTAAAAACTACTTAATTTTTCATTAAAAATCAGAAGTTTCAATAAACTAAAAGATCTATATTGTGAGCTTACGTGGCAGCTTATGTGGCTCATGGAATTTGGGAGCTTATGTGGCCCTAGGTTTTTACTGAAAGATCCATATTGTGACAATAAGGTTCCATCAACATCGCTCATAATATAGTTCAACATGATAGAACCCAGAATATTGAAGTTGACAGACAATTTATTAAGAAAAAGTTGAGCAAGGTTTTGATTTGTATGTCCGTTAGAAGATGCATTCACTAAAAGGCTTGGTAGTAAGAATTTTCACCCCATTATTTGCAAGTTGGGCATGATAAGTATTATGTGTTATGTAAACTTGGAAGTGTATTTGTAGTTACCAATTTAATATTAATACAAGAGGATGATGGAGAGAATCCTAATTCACTCTCTCTCTTCCCATTCCAGCATACAATTTCTCTTTTCTTCTCTATTCTTCTTCTTATTGTTAAATCTAACTAAATTTAACAATAATTCAATGAACCACAAATTTGGTAATTAAATACTTACTATTTTCTGTTTCCTCTAGAAAATTTAACATTAACTCAGTGAAAAAGATTATTGATTGTTATCTATATAGACATAAAATTCCTAGTAAATTCCTATTTTAAAAGCATAAAGTATTTCTTCATTGCATCATCTCAATTCACAGAGCCAAAACTATTTGGCTAAATTCTAATAACCTCCCGCAAAATCACATTTCAAATGAAATTTTCATGTAAGACAAACAGCAAGGAGTTAACATTCAGAATCAGATTACACGAAAAATATGCAACAGTACCTGGCCTGCATTGCGTGAATCAGGATCAATCTTAAGGCATTGCTCATAAGATTCAATGGCCAGAGTTATATTGCCGGCATCTCTATAAAGAACCCCTATACAAAAAGAATTTTAAGAAACTAATCGATAATAAAACTGAGAGAGAGAGAGAATTTCAAAACAGAACATTATTTGTGTCCAAATAAAAAAAATGTGTAAGACTGGAAACCCTAGGATACTAGATATCACCACTAAACAGAATCAACAGACACAATATGTAGTATTGATTTTTCAAATGCAGTGTCGGCAAGCATTCTTTTTCTCTTCTTCTTCTTCTTATCTCTTTTTTGTTTTTTTGTTTTTTCTTTCTTTTTGAGGTAAATTAATAAAGTGACAACAAAGGGGCACATCCTCCATCCATACACTAGGGGTCTACAAAAAGCCAACTATAATCCATCCACCAAAGATAACTCTCCCATAAAATCAACAAACGCAAAAGAAGTGTCACAAAAATTCCCTTTCAGCCAAAAATGAAAACAACGTAAAAGAGCCAATTCAAGTTTGTGAAATACAATCCCAATAAAAAATAAAACCATTAACTTCAATATCAAATGAAAACTACATTTATGTAACCTTGAATTTTGGCAGAGAAGCAACATTCATAAATACAATCTTTTTTTTATCCCCCTTGACAAGTAACACCAATAATACCAATGACAACCAAAAGAGCAGCAATAACTGCCATGTTAACAAAAAGAGGAAGTGACAATGCCAAAAACATGATGACCACAGGGTGAGAGAGAAACAAAGAGACCTAAGTTATTATACGCTTCCGCATATGTAGGGTTTGCAACAATAGCTTTCTCAATCATGCTTGCAGCAGCATCCATTTTACCCTGTAAAAATAAATAAAACGTAAAATCGATCAGCAGCTGCATATTGTCCTTTCCAAAAAAAAAAAATTTTTGAACGGGTATAGGTACTGAACCTGGACAGTGTAGATGACACCAAGATTGTTCAAGGACTGTGAGAAATTTGGTTTGATGGATAAAGCCAACTGCAGAAGAATAAATAATTGTTATAATATCAAGCGCACAATGATTTGAGACTTAAAATTTGCACATAAGCATCATAATTTTGCCTGATAACACTCCACAGCTTTATCGAGGTTGTCACGGTCTTTGTATATCACTCCTAAATTGTTGCATGCCTCTGCACAATGAGGATTGAAGTGGAAAGCAAGTTCATAAAACACAATTGCCTGCACAGATATTAAATAAATATTCTCAAGTTCTAGATTTGAAATGCATCAAATTTCTCATTAAAGCAACTAATAGAAAGGAAGAAAATGAACGATGATTTCAAAAAGGAAAAAATAATAATAAAGATAATGTACTTTCTAGTAGAGAATAATGTTTGAGGAGATCAGTTTCATTCATGTGAAGTTTGCTTCAGAATGGAAGACATGAAAAGCATAGAGATAGAGAGACACAAAAGTTTTATTTCCTACAAATTTACCATGTCAAACTTCAGCATTTCCCCATATGCAACACCTAGATTATACATGGCATCAGCATAGTGCCAATTATAATACAGAGCCTTCTTGTAGTATTCCACACCTTGGTCAATGTCTCCCTCCAATTTAACCTGCATATATCATGAATTCACAATTTAAAATAAAAAATAAAATTGTGAATGATAAAAAACTAGAACAATATGATTTCTACAAGCAAGTGTTTAATGTAGGAAGATAAACTACTACAAATGATCCTTGGAGTTTCTCTCCTTCTTCCTTAATATAATCCATGTTTATTATGAGGGAATTTTGGCACCATTGCACTATGTTGTTTCTCAAGACCCCTATAGGTGAACACTAAAAAGTAAAATTTATTTTTGACATCAACTTGTGTCATCTAAATAAATCTAATATGTGTCATTGATGAATGGAAGACTAACAATTATATTGAAGAAACATGAAATGTGTCATAGCACAAAATCACCAAAAAATTGCATCAACTAGAACTAATCTAACATTAAACCATCCAAATTATTGACCATAGTACTGCCAGGAGTCACAAATCAAAGCCTAAGAAAAAATATGGATACGGGACACGGACACGGACACGGACACGACACAGACAAGCAGATACGGCTGTGGGGGCCGAATATATCTATTACGTACGGAGGCCGAATCACTTGAGGAAAGAAACCAAGTTATGTATTAAACGGCTCTATCCTTAGGGACGGAGGCCGAATAACCTTAATCGGCCGAAGAATCAGCTGTAGACCTGGCCGAGTACGAACAATTAGCCAAATGAGGGATTATTCATTGGACGAAAGGTGGGCCCAACCATCAACATCAAGGACGACTATAAATAGGAAGAGCATCAGCTAAGAGTGGGCATGTAAGAACAAGTAAGTTTAACTTAAGATATAAGCAACCAAGAGAGTATACACTGACTTATCCATCGGAGTGCTAATTCCGACACCCCCGACCGGAGTGTTCATTCCTTTTCAAGTGACTAGCTGAGGATCTCGAGTGTCCTATTGGATTCAAAGCGTATTTCCAAACCACTTCTCCACAACAGCATTTTTCTAAAAGTAGGACTAGAACATGTAGAGCACTTTTCCAAAAGTAGGACACATACACGTCAAATAATATATTAAAATTTTATTTTATATATGCATATATAATTTTATATAAATTAAATAAAATCACTTTTTTCAATAAATAGTTTTTGTCTAAAATAACGATTATACAATTGAATTTTTATTCTCTAACATGTGGCCAAAAATTGGCCAGGTCGAGGATCTACTACATTAACAAAGCCAACAAGGCACATGAGTCTACAACATAAAAAAAAAAAATTCAAAACCATCGCTTTGACTTCTCCCTTTCACAACTCATCGACTATGATTTGTACATTTTGTCTCTAGATATGTCTCTGCAAGCTCAACTTGAGCAACTATAGCCTCCCCTCCACTGAGGGCTTGGGTCTTGATGAGGTGTCATCAGTCTAGGAAATCAATTCTGATGGGGGCTTTTGCGAGGGCTTCAATCACAATTAGGTGTGGTCATTCTAGGGCATCGATCGCAATGGGGGCTTTGGCGAGGGCTTCAATATTGATGGGTGCTTCTATCTAGGGCTTCAACAAGGGTTTTAATTGTGGTTGTTAAAGCCTTCGATCTAGGGTTCCAATAACACTGGCATCAATTGCAACGAGAGTTTGTTTTATCCATGGTCAGTTTCTTTCAATAAATTTCTTTCTTTTAGAGGGAAAAAATAAATAAATAAAAGCAAGTGTCCGGCAATGTGTCTGGTCTTGTCCATCACATGTCCATAATTTAAAAAAATAAAAAAGAAAAATTGGATACTATTTTTCGCTTCTCAAACACAAGTCGGTGACATGTTCGGAAGTATGTGTCTCAGACATCTGGGACAATAATACACGAGATGATAGTGGTTCGGTGCTTCATAGATCAAAGCTAATATTAAAATTGTCAGGGGATAGCAAAAGTTCTGCAGGTAACTATGGAATGCAGTTTAGCATGTGACTAGATGATGATTATTTTTGGCACCAACAATGGTCTCAAAAACTACCTTTGTTCCTAAATCTGTCAATGCAATTGCCATGTTGTTCTTTGCAATCTCGAAGTTTGGAGACACAGCAAGACACCTGAGAAAGCACAAGCAAGAAGCATACATGGCACTTATCAAAAATAAAAAATAAAGCGTACATCGCATCAGCAAATACCAAATATTTTTAAGCACCAACACAAAACAAACATGATTCTTAAAAGGTAGATAACCTCTCATAACAGGCAAGAGCTGATTCCAAGTCTCCACGATTCTTATAGATGACACCCATGTTGCAGTAGGCTTCAGCATACATGGGCCTCTCTAATGCAGCTTCTCATAGCAACCAAGGGCCATATCATATTGCATCATTTCAGAATAAACAACACCAAGGTTATAATATGCAGGCTGCACAAGCAAGGTCAGTGCATTACTGTGGGTACATGTATATTTATGAAGCAAGGAAAACGCTGCGTCCATGAAAAATGAGACTAAAAGTTGGAGGACTATAAATGTACAGCATAATGCGGATCTATTTTAATAGCTTCGTAGTATTTCTGTATTCCCTCCTGAGCGTTGCCAGCAAGCTTTAAGCTAGTTCCGAGATCTGTCAAAACAATTGCCAGGTATTCTGCTGCAGGTTTGTATGAAGGGTCCACTCTCAGAGCCTTCTGATAAGACTGCATCAAGTGAAATTGATTGAATGTAAGAAGTAAACACGCAAAACTTTCGCAAGAACTAATTATTCTGTAGATCAAATGTCAAAATCCAATGTACCATGTGTAACTGCATACATAGCATAATAAAAATGCACTTAAAACAGAAAAGAAAATTGTGAATGTTGCATGCATATGAAGCCTAGCCCAAACAAAACATTGCTCAGTCTGGACAGGGCTCAAGAAAAATGATCAGAGTTTATGTCAATCTAGATCAACTAAATCTCCTCATTACAGCAAAACTCTCATTGCTACTAACATGTTATGCAAAATTATAAATCTATTTCTGTACAGGTTGGGGCAAAGGAAAATGAATGGAGACAAGCAAGAGGCACAATAATCTTCTGCATGCTTTACAAGAATCAAAGCATGGATCAAACTTCTGCCCTTCACATAACTGATATCTATCAGCACCATAAAACTAAGCAAATGAAACAGTAGTTGATGACTTTTAAGTGCATCATATGAGAAACAACGTATAAAGCTATAACCGAATTGGGTTATGCAAGTAAATGTAGCACAAAATTCCTATTAAACTCAAAGCAATGACAACCTCATTCAGAATAATCATCAGTAATGACAATGAATGCATGGAAAGGAAAGTGTGTGCTGAATATCAGTAAAGCCACTGATTAAATAACCATCACGTTAATTATCTTTCTTCTTGATGAGAGGATGATGAGTATAATGAGCATACCTCAGCAGCTTCAATGAGCTGGCCCTCATCTTTGTACACGATACCACAATGAGTAAGAGCGCACACATTTTGCGGTTCCAATTTGATTGCTTCAGCAAAACTCTCGAAAGCAAGCCGTCCCATATTTTGCATCTGCAGGCAAATCCCTTTGCCAATGTGAGCATCAACATTTCCACAATCCTTCTCCAATATACTCTCATAAAGAGCAAGAGCGTCAACGAATTTGTTCCTGGAGCGAAGAATGTTGGCATAAGATAAAGCATCCTTCCCTTCAAATTTCTTTTGCCCAGGACTAATACAATCACTAGAGTTATTGGTACCGGAAGCAGGCTGCTCTTCTTTCATGGACCCATTATCTCCAACCGGGTCCCTCTCTTTCCCATTACCAACATCCTTTTCCATCCACGCCATCTGGATAAACTACAATCTCACTTACCTAAACAAAAATATTCAAAGTAGGAAATTGTAAGTTCGGATTCAAATCACAATATGGATGTGCTTTGCGTTCTGAAAAAAATAAATAAATAAAGGTATACTTGTCATGAATTAAAGGGCAAACCTATATCAACTCTAGATTCTTTTTTTCTTCTCTTTTTTTTTTTTTTTTTTTTTTTTTTTTTTTTTGTTGTACATCAGAATATAAATACAACTCACAAAGTGAGAGAAAAGTCCCACACGGTGGTAGAGAGGAGTCAAACCATTGACTTCCTAGTAGGTGCAAGGGCTATGGTGTTCTATGTGATTCACGATTCATGCATAGATCAATATGAATCTATGGGTGCATATGTTTTGGGATAGCATAAATGGTGAATCGTTCGATTCAAAATTTGATTCATGTTTTATGATTCATGCAATTCTTGAAAATAACCTATAAGAGTGTTTGGTATAAAAATAACCAGTAATAACTATGCATGGTTTGTTGCCATTTTGGTAATCAAAGTGTTTAATATGATTCAATCAAATTCAATCAGATCAGATCTAACATGTTCTTATCAGATCAAACAAACCTTAATGTGTACTATTTAGGCTTCTTTTCTTTTCTTTTTTTTCCATAAAAATGTCAAAATACATATTTGAATGATGGTTAGGCTAAAGTAACTTGCACCCATGAATTATCTATTTTAAAACATAGTTTAATATGATAGAGGTCATGTCAGTCACACCCAACGGTTCCACATCTTCTTCTTTTTTTAACTTTTTTTTTAAAAAAAAATAAAAATAAACATACACTCATTTTCACTTGGTTTCCCTTCTTATTCTACTCTATTTAGGGTGTCAATGTCCATTTTTTAAATGTCAAGAGATAATATATTATGGTTGGTGGGACTTTAACCCACATGTCATCCTATGAAGAGAATGCCTTCCCAATTAAACGGTCTAAATGTAATCATGTTGTTATATAAGAAATAAATATAACATGGCCAAAATCTTGTTTTTTTTTTCATTTTTTTCACACACGCACATATATATAACATACGCCAAAATCAATACGAACTTATACGATTCACAATTCCCAAAATTAAAATTTCAGTTCACGGTAAGATTCTCGATTGACAGCTATGCACTAGCCAACTGGGCTAACCCCATTTAATTTAATTATAGATTATGCTACACCAACTACATTTATTTAGATTACGCTACACCAACTAAATTTACTTATTTTTTCCAACGCTATTTATACCACACAATATATACATATTCAATTTAATATAATAAAAAAAAAGTTTAAAAGAAAAAACCCAAATTCTACAATTTTGGTATTTTAAATGAATAGCCTTGATTATTAACCAATGGTCAGCTAAGCTTTGCTTCACAACCACGCAATAACTATGTCCAACCAAACCAATACCATAACAAGCATCGCAACCAAACACTGATTCCCGTAAACCCCAGTTCCACAGAAAACACATAATTAGGGTTTTTATAGAATAAATGCAATTCAAAGTCAGAACACACACACACAAAACAAATTAAAAACAACAAAGCTCAAGAAATTAGGAATTAGAGAGTGAAAGAGAATGAAATACAGATTCAAAGCTCACATTCAAGGTCCACAGCTAGCGCCACTGCACAGTCGCGCGATGAGAGAGAGAACTGTCTGAGAACGAAAGTAAGAGAGAGAGAGAGGGGGGGGATAGTGGCCTGCTCTGTCTCCGACGCTGATTTGATGTCTCCACACTACGGGGAACAACTGACCTCATAGTGCTCGTCGGTTACCTACATAGCCTTCCTTTTTTTTTTGGTTTGGAAAGAGTTTTTTGCTTGGTTTTCTTTTGGTTTTTAGCTAATTTAAATTGGTTAAATATGTTTTTTTGAAAAGAATTTTTGGTTTTTTTTTTTGGTTTTTTTAGGTGTGATGATTGTAAATGAAAATTTGATAATTTGTATTAATTTTTTTGAAAAATTAGTGGGTGTTTCTATAGCTTTATGTATTTATATTTTTCACTAATTATCATATAATATGTTTCTTTACGTTTCTAATCACTCAACACAAAATTATGAGTTTTACCTCCTCTGCCAATCATAATATCCATGGACCCGTTTGTTTTCAAATATAGAATGAAGGGGATTGATAGTGAAAAAATTGTCAATGAGAGAATTAATGGTAAAGTGATTAAGTAAAATTATGTTTGTTTTGATAATAGTTGTCAGTGTTGGGATTGTTAATTTATTACCTTATAAAAGAAATATAAAATATTAAAGCAAATAAAATTATGTTTTTTACCCAACAAAAAAATACAAAAATATTAAACATTAATGTTAAAAAAATGCCTAACATGTAAAAATAATAATAAAAAAAAAACCCTCAGCCGGATGACTAATAATATTACCTCCACCTCCATCTCCACCTCCTCCATCTCAATCCCAACACCAAAGTACATCCTAATCTCATAGAATTATAAATTCCTTCTCCATCTCCCAAAACAAGTCCACCATATAATGGGTTCCACCTCAATCTCAATCTCAATCTCAATCTCATTCTCACTTGTATCTCCCAAAACGAACGGGCCCTAAGTATCATATGGGCATACTCTAAGAGTACTCAATAATTATTCAAGAATTGCATTTTGGAATTAAAAAAAGAAAAAATTACACAAACATGAAGGCTTGCACCCCACAGCTCCCCCAACACAGAATGACTTGCATTCTGCATTTTTTTTGTAATTTATTTTCTCTTATGTCCACTGGACTGTAGTTCTCTTTAATTTTTTTTTTTAATTTTAATTACATAATGAGATGTAATTGTACATTGACCGCATCTAACAACATAAATAGTAATAAGTTGATTTGGTAATTATCGGATCAGCATAACACAAATTAACATAAATAGTAATAAGTTGATTGGATAATTATTGGATCAGCATAACACAAAATTAATTTGAGTAAGATTACTGTCACATAACGTGTTGTTTTGAGCCTTCATTCAGAAATAGTTAATTTAGCCTGATTTCTTGATTTATTTGCTAATTTAACTTAGCCAAATTAGTTTTGTTTGAAAATAATTTTTAACTTTTTTTTTATTTGAATGTGATAGTTGAAAGAGAAAAAATAAAATAATTATAATTTAAATGTAGCATTCTGTCTTATTGACTAAATTAGCCTATTTTGTCATTTTGTGCTAATTTAACCACTTTAGCCCTTCCCAAACAAGGCCTCAGATAATGATTTATAAGCTAACTTTTTTGTTTATTATAAAAAGACGTGTAAAAAAATAGAGAGATGATATGATAAAAATAAACTAATAAATTAATAAACAACTTATTTATGGTATTAGCAAATGAACGACTGATTCAATTTACGTTTCGTTTATTTTGACGAATAATATTTCTGATGAATTCAAAAAATATATATGTTTTGTGAAGAAAACATTTTTCTATTTGTAGTGTTGGTAGTAGTGGTACGAATGTGGAGGTGGATGCAGTGGTAGGGTGGCGGTGGTGAAGACGACAATAATGGTGATTGTAGGCATGGTGTGACAGTTTAGGTGAGAATGACAGTGACAGTTTGGTGATATTAGTAAAATTTTAATTTGGAAATTTTTTTTTGTCTTTTAAACATTTTTTACTTAAGTAAACTTATTTTTGTATCATGAAAAAATATTTTTCTTTTGACTTTCATTTTTTATTGTACCAAATGACAAAAGATAAGAAAAATATTTTACATGTAATATTCTGCATCAGTGCAAAACATGAGTCAATTTAATAGCCGATAAAAATAAAATAAAATAAAAAAACTCAATGGTTGATGTAAATAAGCTTTTTCCGTGTAATTTATTTATTTATTTATTTACTTTAATTTCTTTTTTATCTGAACAAAATCACTCTTCAATCACATTCCATTAATGACTCGTGGAAGTCGAAATGTATAAGTCATTTTTGGTGAATTTCAGTTAAACATTTTACATAAAAAAAATATTAAGCAAGCACCAAAAATTTAGTTTTACATATAAACAAATGGAGCCAATTGTTATTATTTATTTATTTTTAATTTGATAATCATTATTTCAACATTCTCAAAAATTTAGTTGTACAATTATAAAGGCATCGCATTTAAACCTACAACTAATTATTAATGTACATATATATATATATATATATATACCTGGAGTAGGTGTCCCATTTGACTATTGTCATTCCATTCCATATGGGCGGTTATGTGTTTTGAGATAATGTGACCTATTTTGGAGATGTGGATTAGGCCAATGTTGAAATGAGAAATAAAGGGGGAAAACGACTTTTTAATTTATACTTTTGACCTATTTGTAAATAAATGTTCATACATAGAGCTTAGAAGGAATATTTTTCATTTTATAAATTTATTGGTAAACAATTTTCCAATTATTATCTTAACTATAATAATTTCATTTTTTCCTTTCACCAATTGTGAAACTCTCGAAAGTTGTTTATTTTCTTATTTATTTGTAGATTTAATTGCATTTGACACTTTCACACTTTTATCCAAAATCTCACTTTGGTTATTTTATTTTTAATTGTGATAATTAACCCCTTACATTTTAAGTCATGTTATAATATTATTCTTTTGTTTATTTGGAGTTAATAAAATTGACGAAACTTATCATATAAGTGATATGTAACACTGTTCTTGGTTCAAAGCCAAAAGTATGACCCTAATAAGTCTTATCTTAGAATCTCAATACCCGAAAATCTAAGATTATGTTTGGTTCATAAATTTAGAAAGAAAAAAGAAAAAAAAAAAAGTAAAATGTAAATGAAATGAATAAAATATAGCCTAAGAGATTATTGGATGCTATCGATAATGGTAAAACTAAAGGGTAAGGATAGAATACAATCACTACAACAAATTTGAAATTTAAAGACAAAACAAATTTGTCCCAAAATGTACACATTTCGTCACCTAAACTAATTATGAAGAAAAGTTTTCATCAGCCGTTTTGTTGCCAAAGCGTCGTCGCCAAAAGGTCTTAGAGACGAAAAAATAAATTCGTCATTGAAAATAATAAATTTGTGACAATTTTCTGTCTCCAATACACTCTGTTGGGAACATACTTGTAAGTAATTAACGACAAAATATTTTGTCATCAAAGGAAGAAATTGGAGACAAAAGTATTTTGTCATAAATATAAGAAGTATAGATGAAATAATTTTGTCGCGTTTAATATAAACAAAGACGAATTTTTTTTGTCAAAGAACCTACCAATAGAGACAAAAACAAATTCATCATTAAAAATGATAAAATAATGTCAAAAAAATTCGTCACACATTGAGGATAATAGTGACAAAATGTGAGAATATTTTTCGTCATGACAAATTCATTTAGCGACGAAATAAAGAATTCATGACAAAATTAGTCATCCACCTAAGCCAAATAAGGGACAAAAAAACTTTCTTTAGGGATGAAAAATTTTGTCACTAATTCTATAATATTTTTTCCACATTATATACCTATTTTATCAAAATCTGAATTTTAGTTCAACAAATATAACTCTATTCATGTTGAAACCTGTTTAATATAACAATTATATCACAACTTAACTTAACCTGCTATAAATCAACACATTTACGAATTAACAAAATGAAAATATCCATTCATCATTACAAATAATTTCATTCTAATACAATAAAATAGTGCAATATCCACAAAAATATCCAACAGTTATAACTAGTGCAATTCCACCAAACATCCAACAATAACTAGTGCAACTCCACAAAGTATGTGTATCCTTATCAAACAAAAATGAACATTTAAGCAAATTAGATTATTGTTGCACGTAAAAAATGCCACCCCAATCCAATCTGCAAAAAAATAAATTAAAAACTTTAGTAACTAATCAATTATACAAAAAATTAAAAACATTAATAACTAATTAATTTACAATTAGATCAATTATACAATTTATCCCTCTAACAGACTTTTTTTGAGATTATAGGAACAAAAAATTAATTTTAAGGCTAATTCACAAATGGTGCATCCCATTAATGTGCTGTAAGTTTATACAACTTATATTGGTCCCTCCTAAGGTGTTTTCTATTGGTTCCTACACAAATCTGTGATTGTGTGATAATTTAGCATTTCGACGGCCTTTTTTAAACCTTTAAGTATGGAGAAAAAAATATTTAGACTAATTCACAATTTATACATCTCGTGCACCTGTATAAATTAGGTGTTCTATGCATGTTTCCATTACTTCCTAATTCTTCAAACATATATTATTTTATAAAATTTGTTATATTAAAGTTAATATACTTTACCAAGAAGTATGTCCACTTGTGGATGAGTCATCTCCACTTCCAAAGTGTCCAGTGAATCCTTTGCTCCTTAGAAAGTTGACGACATCTGTCATTATCTCCTCTTACTTCTTCCTACTCTCTTCAAGATCTTCTATTTTATTGTTCTGCATTTGTATTTATTCCTTCTGTGTCTTTATTTACATCTCAAGGAGCTTCACATTATCATTTGTTTCAGCATATATGGTAATGGTCCTTCTAATAGAGAATGAAGGTCTCATGCCAAGTCTCTTCACGTAGCCAGACCTTGGCTTTAGGACTTTAATTGATAGCTCTTCTGTAGTCAAAGGGATTGATCCCGGTTGTGAGAGGTGATTAGCCTGTGTTTGTATCATATTTTTCTATCAAATATTAAATAATTAAATAATTATTAGAAAAGTAAATAAGATTATAACAAATAGTATTCTAAAAATTTGTAAATAAAAATTGCAATATATACTCACATAATTACCCTAAGCTTTAGACGAAATCCACTCATGTGTTTTCTCATTATAGTGAGTTTCTTTATA